TGGACGGTGGTAGTGGTGGATGGTAGCGTTGGTGGTGGACGATGATGGCGGTGATGGTGTACGGTGGTGATGGTGGTGGACGGTGGTGGTGAAGAGAAGTAGAAGAAAAAAATGGATAGATGTTAGAAGATGTTAGAAGACATAGGTTAATGTCTTCTCCAAGAAGATGTCAGGAAGACCTTTTTGAGTGAAATATCTTCCAAAAAACAAACAATCTGCAGAGCTCAGCATCTGCGCGCGTCTGCGCGGCGCAGACAAAAGAGGCCAGAAGCTCTTCTGGCCAAAAAACAAACACCCCTATGTGAAGAATTCAGTGATTTAATCCAATATTTAGGTTGGATTAAAATACAATAAAAATCAACTCATTTTTTCAATTTAAAGATAAAAAAGAATTTTTAGAAAGGAATTAAAATAAACTCTAAACTAGATGAAGAAACGAAATGAAAAAAAGAAAAAAAATAAAAGAATGAATAAGGTGAAGAAGAAGAAAAAGGGTAATAAAAGTTACTCGTATAAATTTTCTCTTGTACCTTTATAATTCAAATTCAAGGGGTATGAGTGTTCCTTTTTTAAATTTGTGACATGTTGCACCCTTTCGTTATTTTATCATAGTGACTTATTCCATAATTCAATTTTTCTTTTAATAATTTACTAGTTTTAAAATTTGAGTCTCGAGCTTTGTGCGATTTTAATACATATACAACTCAAAATTTTTAATAGTTGGTACAAAATTATAGGTTCCAATTTCATCTGGTCTTTCAAAAATAATTACATCTTTCACTTTGATGCATAATAATCCTAAATTTACTGAAATTTACGAGTTTTGGGTCGCCATTAAGTTTCCAATGGCGGCTTAACAGAAAGGTCTATTTTGCGCAACAAAATGAAAGTTAAGATTATTTTTAATGAATTTTCTTTATTAATTTTTATTTTTTGAAATTTTCATTTAAATTTTTAAAATTACTTTCTACCTACATTTCTTTTGCTTTTTTTAAAGATTATTCTTACCTTAGAAAAAAATAAAGAAATAGATATAAAAAATAAAGAAAATAAGAAAAATAACTTAAATCACACAAAATTAATGAAATAAATAATGTAATCAATAAAAATTAAACTTAAACTGGTAAGAAATAAAATACATATATACGGAGTGGTAGGTTTTAACATTTTACACGCTATACAGAATCTTAATGTACTACTTAATTTTTAAAACAACAAGATGTCCGGTAAATTGGAATTATTCTAGATAATTTTTTTAAAAAACAAGAATTGATACGTTAATACTTGCATAGTGCGTAAAATATTAAAACCCACCACTCTGTATATTTTTATTTTATTTCAGACCAATTTCATGTTCGTTTCTATTGATTACGTTATCTATTTTATTAATTTTGTATCATTTTTGTCACTTTTATCATTTTTATTATTTTTTATATCTATTATTTTTATTTTTTTAAAATAAGGCTAATCTTTAAAAAAATAAAAAGAAATGATAGAGGTAGAAAGTAATTTTAAAAATTTAAATCAAAACTTCAAAAAAAGTTAAATAAGAAAATTCATCAAAAGTAATCCTAACTTTATAACATGTTAACCCACCGTTAGAAATTTAACCGTGATAAAAAAACTCACAAATTTTAATAAAGTTGTATTATTATGCATCACAGTGAAAAATGAGATTATTCTTGAAAGACCAGATAAAACCAGCTAAACTAAACAATCATTCAAATCAGCTGAGACATACAATCAAAAGCCGGCCAACATTCAAACAAGACCATCATACCCTTGATTTTGTTCATAAGAACTCATATGTTTCACATTATGTAAAACAAACTTATGCGGTTTTAAAAATTTGTAAAAATATATTTTGATGGTACATTTCATCTATTTGAAGTTTCATTCTTTTGACAAATCAAACAAGTATACGTGCATCTTAATTCGTGTGATGTTGGACGATAAGCAGGTCTTAATTTTTTTTCTTCATTAGAAAAGTGAATGGAGGGTGAACATTATTATGTTCCCTACGTCCGAAAATATTCTTTCCATTTGACATTTTACGGTCTCCAAGATTGCACTTTGATCACTAATATCTTTATTTATACATGGATATATTTTATAAAAATTTGATATTTGAAAACTATATTTCAAAATGAATATATTCATATTAAAGTTTATATCGTAATACAATGTATTATTTCACATATCATAGTCAAAGTTTACAAATTTTGACCAAAAAAAGTTAAATCGAAAGAATATTTCCGAACGGAAGGAATAATTAATTAATTATAGCTCAAAAAGAAAGAAAGTGTAAATATTAATTCGTGAAGGAGTAATTAAATGCGAGTAATTTTCATATCCTTCGTAAACTAATCTCAAAGTATACTCAGATTATAATTTTGGTGAAGGAGAAAGAATGAGTTCTGCAGGGTCTGGCAGAGGCAAGCCCAAGGCAGCCAAATCCACTTCCCGATCTCACAAGGCTGGCCTCCAATTCCCCGTCGGCAGGATCGCCCGGTTCCTCAAAGCCGGCAAGTACGCCGATCGCGTCGGCGCCGGCGCCCCTGTCTATCTCGCCGCCGTCCTCGAATACCTGGCCGCCGAGGTGAGATCTTTCGTTTCAATTCCCGTCGGTTAATTAATCCTATCTCGACGTGAAATCTGATCGCCGGTTCGTTTTCCGGCGGATGGACAGGTTCTGGAGCTGGCGGGGAACGCGGCGAGGGATAACAAGAAGAACAGGATCGTCCCCCGCCACATACAGCTGGCCGTGAGGAACGACGAGGAGCTGAGCAAGCTTCTCGGTGACGTCACCATCGCTAACGGCGGCGTTTTGCCCAACATCCACCAGCACCTCCTCCCCAATAAGTCCGGCAAAGGCAAGGCCGATGCCTCCCAGGAAATTTAGTTTCCTTTTCTTTGGGAAGATTCAAATCTTGTCCTTTTTTTTAAAGAATGAAATAAAATAAATTTGTTGCAGAAACTATAGAGTATTATATATTTATATTTCAGCCAATAATTCTGCAAAATTATTACTCCCTACTATACAAAAAAACATTTCAGGGGCTATGGGCCTACGGCAAAAACATGGGAAGATCAGGAATATTTACATTTGGTCCCTCACAGTAAAAGTTTGTCCTGAACTTCTACCCATTTTCTGATAAGAGCATCAGAGGTGTTCCAAAAACGCAGTGGCAGTGTGGCACTGCTAGTGTCACTGTTGGCGAGTGTCAACGAAACCGTGCCCAATGTAAAAAAGTAAACAAGATTTACCAGCGCCTTATATTGCATGTAGTATACAGACTTGATCTCCAGGTTAGAGTGCATGGGAGATTGGGCAGTCTTCCTTAACATGATTATTGAATAGCCTATATCTGCAGTAGGTAACAAAGTTGAGGAGATTATTACCTTTTCAAGGTAAAAATATGCTCCGTATAACCCGAAAAAATACTATGATATGAAGGAAAACATCGAGGAAATCCAAAAAAATAATCACATTATGATATTGCTGTTTTTTAAAAACTTAAAGGTTTGAGTTTATATCGCAAACCTTTCGTATTCAAGTTTCTGAGTAACAATCCCGTTAAGCAAAAGCTCTGAACTGTAAACTGCAATTCCTGGAGGATAAAAGAGCCAACATGATTGCCTTTAAGACTAGGATTTTGCTGCACTACCCTCAAGTTTGCCTCCTTTAAGCATAGAGTCGCAGACAAAGATGGAGGGTACTTAAAGCATTTTGTTAGTAAAAAAAAAAGGAATTTGGGTATATATGATATTTATGCACATGGAAAAAAGAGATGAATTAATAAAGTCTCACCTTTCTTTAGAAATGGTGCACAAGCTGCAAAATCTTCTTCAGATGAAAGAACTAATGTCCCTCCTTGAGTAGTTACATCTTTGGTTTCAGCCACTTCCTGGTGAATGTGTCACAAGTAACCGCATCCAAGAAAGATAGTATGGTTATGTATAATGTAAAAAGTTTCAGTACACATTTGCAACCATTACCAATGTTGTAAAAAAAACTGGGTGCTCTCTAGGCTAATTAGACTGCCATAGTGAAGAGCTTAGAGCCTAGGCATTGATTAATTGGGGAATTTTACTGCAATGCCAACTTGCATTTACACAAAGAAGAAATGTTCATTCCAAAACATGCCAAAAGGAATTCTCTTATCAAAATCTGTGAGTGTAGAATCATAACTGAAGTCTTGAATTAATCTATTAAAGTGCCACTGCGAAGTGCTGATGATAATATCTCAGGCTAGTTTTGTACCTGGCCTTGAACTGCAGTGACCAAGCTTTGAATCATGCATCTACTGGGCTTCACGTTTGGGGTAATAAACACTTTATGATCCTGCAGTGAGTGATAAAAGCTTTAGAGAGAACATTACACTTGACTAAACAATATAATGGTATAAAGTCCAAAACCAAGCAACTTTTGCAAATAATTACTCTCAGAAGTGGATGCTGGCGAGAAAAGGCAAGAGAGTCAGGCATGCTGAAACCAATTTCTCTTTCCTTTTTATAATCCCTCAATATGAACATCTTCTCATTAATAAAAGAGTTTGCTTGCCCACAACTCTCAAGCCACAAATGTGTAACCACAGGTATCCCAATGGCCATTGCTTCCAACATATTCTTTGTTCTCAGAAATTTATCAGCTACGAAGTGTGAAGCATCTGAACAGCAAGATGCCATGGAAAAGCCTAGCCGTGCCACAATCTGAAAGGGAAAACATGGTGGTTAAAATGGATATGTTAAATGCAAAAGGTACACCTATTACTCAGAAATTCCAATACAAAGTGTTCTTGTACGCATATTAGTAATTACTGCAGATAGACCACCTTTTTCTGGCGTTTAATTGTTCTCTTATCCAAACCCTGGCTGAGCAAGACCTTGACATTTGTATGACCCTTTCTCCTCCTTGAATTTCTCGGCATGAAATCAGGCAGTGACTCTCTATGCCCTAATTTAGCAAGCTCTTTAGTAAGGAATGTTCTAGAGAGTCGTCTCCCATGCTTGCTACCCTTGAAGTCATATTGTTCGATATGATTTCCACTTGAGACTGTGTTTATTGTTCTATCAGTTAACACAACATCAGAAGATACTATTGAAAACAAATCATACGAGTCAACATGTTTCAGATTTGCAGAAATGTCCCCATCGCGACACTTAGGTATCCCTTTGTCCGTAATGGTGGAAGAATTACAATTTGAAACAACAGTTGAAGAAGCATACTGATTATTCCATCCAGAAGAATGTCGAGATACCCCTTTATGTGTCCTTTTTCCTCTGGGATGGACCCAATATACTAAGTTATCTTTCTTATTCATAACCTCCAGGCTCTTTTTAAAACTTTGATCAGTAAACCTTTCCAAAAAACTTGAGGATGACTGATTGTTGTTTTGATGATTGCCCATTTTCCCCCTTCTCTTGTCACGCAAACCGCATTTTTTATCATTGAATGAACTAAAATCAGCATCTAACTTTCTTAAAGGCCTTCTGGATGTTCTCTTTTTTGAGCGAAGCTCTCTAGAAAATGGCAAGCCTGATTCTGCAGGGGGAAGTAATTCAGGATCAATTATTCTTTTGTCTTCCCGTGCCCCTTTTGGTGGATTACTGGACAACTGGGTTTCTTTTTTAGTACCCTTATGTTTACAAAAAGGATCCAAATTTAGAGGAAGGGCATAAGACAAGGCTTCCATAGCCTCGGCTGCCACTTGGGTGTCAAAGCCAACCTCGTAGTCATATGTGGATACTACATCCAATTGATCCTGTTCATCTTTATGCAACTCATCCTGAAAACTAGTACCCAGGGCTTGAAACTTTGAGATCTCCATTTTATTTGAACTTGATCTTCCTTCCCCGGAATTCAATTGGAAAACATTACCTACGGCTTTTGGCTTCTGAACTGCTAGAACACCATCACAGAGTCCATCAATGTTGCACTCCAAATCTAAGTTGATTTTCCTTCTGTTTAAGGAAGAAGTTTCTTCATCGCCACTTGAATTTCCAGACCAGTCAAAGACTTCTAGCTTCTTATCAAGGAGTGTCTGATTCTTTATCCTTGCCAAAGTTTGAGGTCCGTTTGGGTGTGAAATTTGGGGTGACAGTGACCTACCCTTCGCTCCAGTTTCAAGGAGGGGATATGCATTTGGATCATTGTTCAATAGGTAAAGGTCCACAACTTTCAGCGCATTTTCTTCTGAAGAGCGTTCTGGTTCTTGAGATTCAACGTACTTACACATGGGAAGATGGGAATGACAGTGGTTAAGATCATCATCATCTCTTGCTGAAGCTTCTTTACAACTGTTCCGACTGATTCTACCCAAATTCCTTGGCATTTCACTGCACTGCAAATCTTGCCGGGTTTTCTCAACATCTAAGCGTTCCTTCATAGCCCACAAAGGATTCTTCTTCTTCCTAAGGTATCCTGATAAACAGACAGGTAATTGAGCCAACACATAAACTCTTCAAGATCAGCTTTTCTATCAAGTAAACAGAAACAACAAATCATTCTCACCTTCGCACGAATGATTTCCAGGAGCATATCTTCTCTTCCCCACACACCTTCCTCTTGTCATTGCTTCAACATGAATGCCTTCATTTCCATGCATTCCTTCATCTTCTGAATCAAGCACAATTTCACCTTCAGTTTCCCTGCTCAAATTCTTAATACAACCCGAGAGCCTCACAGCTTCGGTATCACTCCCAATGTTCACCTGCTGATTATCCGAAATGGGACTCTCGGGTACAAAATAACCATCAACACCTTCAGCAAAAACGCCCTCCATCTCCATTCAATCCTTCTTTTTGCTCAGTTATGATAAATCTAAAATCAAAAAATCCACAAACAAATAAACGAAACTAAAACCTAATGCATATGAGATACAACCAACCCTCGGCTGGCCAGTGTTAATACAGAATGAAATGAATGCTCCAACCCCCTAAAATTTCCGAGCAGAATCCGAACAGAAATCAAGTAATGAACTGGAAAGGAATCAGAATCGTGGAGGGAAAAACTCACCAGAAGAAGCTAGGGATGATTAAACGACGGCATTCTGAACAATCGGACTCTTCTGCTTGCAGTGAAGGGGAAATTGAACAGTGTCTGAGCACACATATATAGCATAATCTCAGGTTTTATAAACATAAACTTCGCCGGCTTGGGAAATGGAAGAGGCCAAATGATATGGTGTTCATACTTGCAGAGTTTTGGAGGGAAACTGGAAAATTTTGTCTGCCACTGCAAGAATGTCGTCTTAAGTCGAGAAAATCTTCGGGCGGATATTGGATTTGGGTGGAGACCCATTTCCTCTCTCACGAATTATTATGGGCCGTTCTTGGGCGAATTCATACCCGATTTAAGTTGGCTGCAAGTCTTGTTTAGGACTGCCCCAGCCCGATGGATTGGATCTATTGTTTTGATCAAGTTCGTCGATTTAATTTTGACTCATCCTCAGGGCCCGTTTGGTGAGAATGATATGATATACGGAGTAAGTTTTAAAATTTGAACGAAATGACATGGATTGCAAGACCTAAAATGAAGTTATTTGAATCGAATTTGAAATAATGATTAAATTAGTGATAAGCGATTCTGGCCAGCAAAAGGGTGGTTGGAGGTATAGTAGTAGGCTGGTAGCGAGTAAAGAGAGTGGTCGACATTTGATGATCAAATTCTCTTATTGATGTTTTCAGAACTTAGGTCATATCAAAATCCTCTATTTGAAAGATTTGACATATCTAAAGATATCAAATTTGATTTTTTTAATACTTCACTAAACACTTTAAAAGATTTCTCACAATAGAAATCATCTCAAATAAGAGTACACATAGCATTGATTCTTCTATTTTGTTATTTTTTCCATGTGTTACTCTTAGTTTACTCATTTTTCCTTTCTAACCTAAGGAGATATCAAAATTATCCAAATTTGGTTGCATACATTAGCTACAACGTCAACCATACGCACCATTCATCTAGCTTTTTCACGCGCAACCAATTCAACATGATTTGATGATGATTTGATGATGTAGCAATCAAAGTTTTTGAACTCCATATTTTTCGTGTAGCACTAAAAATGTTCAAGTCGTCAAACTATACTCTAATGACAATAAAACTTAATTTTATTTACTTTCCACGAAGATATCGAGACAGTACAATTAGGCCAGTAATGAGACTGTCAAAGACACCCTTGTGCAATCCAAAGTTGGAGTAAAACATGGACAACATTTTTATACAACAAACTCAGTAAAATTTCATAACATCACAACATTTTATGATGACTAGAAATATTTACAAGGACTCATATTCCTGCCTATTGTGTGTTTAAAAACCTCAAGCTTGCATGGTTTCATCTTTGTTGTCCTCGTCATCATTCTCTATTTTCCACATTTGAACAAAAAGATGGAAGATCAAAGCCCACATACACACACACACACACATACATACATACATACACACACACAGACACACACACACACAGATATATATATATATATATATATATATATATATATATGTATGTATGTATGTGTGTGTGTGTGTGTGTATATATATATATATATATATATATATTGGTATGTATGTATGTAACAAACTGATAGCTGATGATGATCTTCTGTGGCAAAAAAAGATGGTGCCTTTCTTGTGCTCGTGCGATGGCAATCAAAATTGTTCCAAGACAACCTTGCGCATGAAGTCCTCTGGTGCTGCAAACCCAGTTAAAGATATGTTTAAAATATGGCATAGTGATTAGTGACAGTGACAAAGCCCTTAATTAGAGACAAAGTATGTTAATTACCTAACCCATTAGTGAACAACCTAAACTGGCCGAGAGCCTGCCTGACGAACATCTCAACTCCACTCACCACCACCGTCCCGACCTCTGCAGCCTCTTGCAACAGACGTGTGTTTCTCGGCGTGTAGACCGCGTCAAATACCAGATCGTACGATTTCAATGCCTCCTGAGAATATGAAACCAGCGAAACATATAACCGATCATATCAAAAACAGCTTTAAATATAACTACAATCATATCATATTAGACTAGATCAGATGACCAGATCAAATCAGACCAGCCATAATAAAACCAGATCATATCCAATAACATATGACAAAGAGAAGAAGCTCTAGATAATGTTTTAATGACCAAATAGGAGAATCCATCCCAAAAGACTAGCTTTTCAGGTGAGAGAACCTATTTGGTCTATAAACCCCTCATCCGCTGCAGATGCAATGGATGTGGGACAAGCCTCATACCTTGCAACTGGGTTAAGATTTTAGGGGAGGGTGGCATGGAAGGAAAAACAAACCTTGCAAACCGGGGTTTCATCAGTCCTCGGCTGCATCCCAATGGCTGAAGCATTTGCTAATATCATTCCTTTTTCTCTGTCAAACTCGTTAAGTTGCTCGTATGGCAGTGCTTCACCAGACACTGCTTTGGCAAGCGCTTTCGCTCTCTCTGCCCAAAAAACAAACTGTCAAAATCAAATAAAGTTCTAATATGTTGAGTTATATATTCTGGCATTAAACTCTAGAAGTATTAACAGTATGTATATATGTACCATAGTTGCGGTTGAAGATCACAACCCTTGCTCCTCGGCTTTTGGCACCAAAAGCCATAGCTCGCCCTGCGCCCCCAGCTCCAACCAGCACAAACAATTTCCCAGCCATTGGAGAAGCATGTGATGCATGACCATTTGTCATTTGCCTCTCTGTTTATAGGAAATTTGAAAAGAAATAATTTAGAAAAAAAAATACCTATATTTCCTTGTATATCCATTGCCAATAGAACTAAAATAGTCATAATTGACAATGTTTTAGATTTGGCTAAATCAAAATGACACATTAAACCTTTTTTGCTTCTTATTTTCAATCAATGATGTTTTGGGTAGTAAATGCAGCAATATGATTATGGATTAAAATAATTATAAGCAAATACCTCTAAGTGCACCTTCAATAGCAGTTATGCCAGCCTCACAATCGGTATTATAACCAATGAGTTTCCCGTCAATAGGCCTCCGTATGATTGTATTTACTGCACCTATGGACTGTCTTCAAAAAGCATATACATTACAACAATACTAAAACTAACAAGAGCCCGGTTCCTTTGACACCAATGTTGGTTGTCATTATGACACCGGCCGGTTGAGCTCTTTATAGTGCTCTGTTACACCCAGAAATTGTTCTTACCCCCTTAAGTAGTAACAACTTCAAGGTCCAACAGAGCTCCGTAGCGGAGTCAAATGACCTGTGTCATAATATGACACCCAACTTTAATGTCAAAAGAAAGAACAATGGCTAATAAGTTTTTCAATGAAAAACTCCATTTTGATGGTAAGTATATGAGACCTTAGCAAGGGGATCCACTTCATCACAGCAACCTACTGCAGCTTCCTTGTGTGGGATTCCAATACTGCCCAGATCCCATCAAAAAGACAGAACATGGAATTTTGATTAGCCCAATGCCTTATATGCTGGTTTGCGTTCAAGTCTAATGACATTTTGGGATTTTGAACCACAAGTTTGAGCTTTTGGTTGAGTTGGTTTCTTAGCATGGTTTCAAAGCCATGTTGACGTAGAGGTCATAAGTTCAAATCTCATTAACACTCAGTTTAAAAGATGTAGGAGTAATATTCACATGCAATGCTCGAGCAAACATGCATTGCCTGCATGTGAGGGGGCATGTTAAAGACTTGAAATATAATGACATTTCTGGATATTCAACCACATGTTTGAGCTTTTAGTTGAGTTGGTTTTCCCAACAGTTTGTGTTTTTGATCATCACCCGATGCAGGATAACTTAACCTTATGGGTAATCAATTAAATGCAATAATAAATCACTCTCGTGGCATACCTGAAACCGGCAAAGTCTGTGCAGGAATAGACCCTAAAGAATTCCTTAATGTTATCGACAAGCAACGGCACGTATATTCCATTATATCCAGTGTACCTAAAGGCAGGGTTATGTAGGAGAGGTCCTTTACTATGTCCCACGGGATTAGAGACAACACCGAAGATTCTTGTGTCTGCATTCATATGTTCAAGCTGATAAACATGCTTAATGCTGTTGAGAGGGGGCAGGCCAGGGGTACATTTGCCATTCAAGGATCCACAAACAAAGAAAGCACCGTATTTGGGGCCGAGTAATTGGCTAATAAGTCCTCTATCCCCCACTGCCCTAGCAATTAGAGGTACCTGATATATATACATACTGATTGATTATTGAGTAAATGAGTAATGATTCCACTCTCCATTCTCTTTCAAGTCTCAGTTTGAGAAAAAGTATGGAGCATGCTACATGTACCCCAAAATTTGTACCCCATTTGTACACCAAAGATATGCACCAACATTTTGATGGTTCACACTGACACAAAGTGTTATTGCGTTAACAAAAATTTACGATGACACAAAGTATTGGTGCGTTAACAAAAATTAGCATTACACCATCACAAAATGTTGGTGCATCCCTGCTGTGTACAAAATGGGGTACATATTCTTGGGATACAAATAGCTTTATCCAAAAAGTATTTCCTCCCACCCAATTCTCAGATCATTCTAATGGCAGTACCAAGGCAGTGAAAAGATAAAAGTAAAAAACAATATAAACACATAAAAACACAGTGAAATCTTAACGGCCAAGCTACCTGACAGTGGGTAAGCATATGGAAAAGGGGGGCAACGTCGGTGATATAAGCAACATCAATCAAGAGTTTGATAATGTCGGCGCCGGTGGACTGCAGGTGTATAATGAGGTTCCCGAGTTTCTCCGCCGTGGGCGGCGGTCCGCCGCCGTTGACGTAGGTGGAGACGATTATCTTGCTGTTTGATCGAACGCTCATCAGCTCATTCATCGCCGTATCAGAAACCGCCTGTGAATCCAAATGAATCATCAGCCTATTATCCAAATTCCGAAGTAATAGACTCCATTAATAATGAATCAATTTACTTGGAGTGGGACTTCAACAAACTCAACGTCTAACTGTACGGCCAGTTTCAGGATCTGCAAGCATCTGCTCTTCCAGTCACCTCCTCCGCAGGAACTGTTGTTGGGCCTGCCATAACGAGATGGCCCATTAGTAAAAACACGACCACGGACCATCATCAAATAGCCCACATCCACACCAAAGTTTTTGTACCAAATATTTTAAAAAAATAAAAAGTAAGTAGTCGAAATTTATTTAGAAAATGGTAAAAGATTGTGGAAAATATATTATTTACTTTATTGGGTTAATAAGGAAATAAAAAAATTATTTTGAGATAAATTAAAAAGAAACTAGATCAATTAATTTGGTACAAGAGTAGTGTAGTCCATATTTGATTCGATACATAATATAAAAAAAATAGAATTTTGTGATTGGAAATGATGAGACGAAGACTATTATTTCAGAGCAAAGAAAGAGATGCACTTAATAGGGAGTAAATATTTTGTAAAATGCGAGTGTTTTTTTATAGAAAATGAATTTTAGATACATAATTGAAATAACATTCAAAGTTCAGATACCACTAATAAAAATTTGTATGTTTGTAAGTCAAATTCTGCATATTAACATGTGAATGAACAATGTTCCATATTTATAATGTCTAAGACATTAATGTGAAAAATTGGGATCAAACTTACATATCCAAGCACGACTCCAAAAATTTTCATTACTGTACACTTTTACACTAAATTTGGTTCAAGAAATTTGAAATAAAAAAAATGAGATTAAAAATTATTTTTTCTTATTTGGAAAGAGAGGAAAAGAAAAGAAAAGAGTGAAAAGAAAAGAAAATGAGAAGACAAAATATATTAAGAGGATAGAAAAATCAAATTTCTCTCATTTTGGTAAAAAAAATGAGAGAAGTCCATTTTCTTTCCTTTTCCTTCCAAATTGCTTGTACGAAACATTGTGAGAGTGACTTCACTAAGGACATTTTAAGTACTCCTTACTAATTTGTGGGCACACGGCCACGGAAGTGACGGAACCCAGGTCTAGAAGTGTACCGAGTAATAACAACTAACCACAAAATAATGGAGGAATAATTGGCATCAGAAAGTACCGAGTACTTTTAAAAGAATAAAAAGATTTACTTTGAGACAAATATGGAGTATTAAAGAAAAAAGAGATGAAAAATTTATTTTAAATCAAGAATAATTTTTTTTGCAGAGGACAATAATCTTTTTAGTGTGTTGTGTACGTAAAAAGTAAACTTAATACTAATTTTGAAAAGTTAAATAAAAAAAGTTAAAAGGTAAACTTGAGACTAATTTTGTAAAAGTCAAAGGAAAATGCTAGGGGTACACCCCATTTGTCCCCCACCCCCTCCATAACCACTCAAATAGGCAAGAAAATTAAAACAAAATAAGTAAATAAAAATCAAATCCAAATGAGTAGTTATGGAGGAGGTGGAGGACAAATGGGGTACACTTTTGGTGTACCCCTAGCATCTCCCAAAGTCAAATTAAAAAAGTGAGAATTTAATAATGATTGAGTGCTGAGCTCACTTGCTGTTTTTTTAGCTTATTGTCCCTATTAAGGAGTGATAGTGTACTCGAGGACATAGCTTACTTGGTCGAGAGAGTAGTGCTATAGAAGTTCATTGCAGATTTAAATACGGACAATTACAAAAAAGAATGACCATATTATACATGAAGTTCTTGTAAGTATCAAGATTATTTACTTTCGACCTATTGTCCAAATCAGTAGAGATCTGGGATTAGAGTAGAACCTCATTTAATAACCTCTTTTTTAGTGAAGACAAGAATTATCAATTTTATCGAGAATTAAAATTAGTAAGAACCATCTATTTTATGGAACGAGAACTGTTGGGGCCCCCAATTGGGATCAATGTTGTGTCACGACATTGAAACTCTTTTTCCAAAACGTGAAACCGCTCACCTCAGTCGCCCCTGACCTGTTGCTCGGAGATTGTGAGAGATAGTAAATCATAGTGACTCATTCCTCAACAAAGGCTGAGAGCAGTGATCACTGCGCACAAGGAGCCCACTTCATTTTTTGAGAGGTTGATCCCACCACACTGCCATTGTGAGAACCAACCGTTGGTCTTCTATTTCAAATTCTACCTTTGAGATCAGTTGAGTTATCCATGCCGGCAATATGGAAACTTTAACATCATGAAAATGGGATATTTTTAGTAATACCGATACGGAATTGCGGAGAGTTGTTGATACTTCCGGCCCCCATTACCCACGAGACTGGTGCGCCACCTACCTACCTCCTCACTCTACCACCTTAATCAATAATCAGCACATTCACGTGTAACCAGTTGTCTATTTTGAAACAGACACCCCACGACTCATTATTTTCTCTTCATTACCTCGTTTAAGTTAAACAAAATGTACTCTTTCATCCCAATTTATATTATTTGTTTTGATTTACAATATTCGATCAAAATTATTTTCAAATCATTTTATATAAAAAAAATGGTGCATAATTTAAAAATAAAATTTAAATATTAAAATACCACATCAAAAAGTCTACAAAATAAAACTAGTGGTAATATTATTATTTTATTTTATTAAATGACTACCGAAAAAAAGGAAAAAAAATGAATAAAATTTGACCATGTGAATAGTAAATGAATAATTTAATTTGGTACCGAGGGAGTAATAAATCCATCAAGTTTGGCATTGATTGTTATCACAAATTATTTTTCACATATTCAATAATTATCCGTGAGAATTTTTTTATGAGATATTAATGATGTCAGCATTTGTGCCATTCTTGGAAGATTTGTAACATGATTCTTATACATCAACCTCCAGAAAGTCAAAAGATAAAATAAAACTCACACGCAAAACATGTTTATGAGTGTTTGAACGGACGCCGAACATTTTGTGTTTAGAATTTTCGGGTCTATACTTTTTTTGATAGACTAATTTTTTTTTCATTACTACTGTTTTGATCATTTATGATCTAGACAAAAGATATATTCATTTCATTCAATTTTTGATGTATCATCAAAGTTATAGTGTTTGTTTAAATTGAATGGAAAGAATAACGCACACCCAAATATTTGATGCTTAAAAGAGATAAATATTGTGATTAGAAAACCGGTGCAATTGTCAAAACTCAAATTCAGGTTTATCCTTGTGACACACCCAGTGCAATTGTCAAGATTCAAATTCATGTTTTTAATTTGAGTTCCGGTGCAATTGTCACAATTCAAATCCAGATTTGTCCTCGTGACACCCGATACCAACCAGAGTTTGAGCTCAATTGCTATGAAATGTCACTCAAGTACGAAGAGAGGGGGGGTGGCGAATACCTGCAAGAGATGATGGAGGGCAAAGTTCTGTGGGTGATGAGGTGGCGGACGCGGGAGGAAGACAGAGAGTGGACGCAGAGCTCGACCAGATCGGCACCTTCCTCCTTGGCTTTGCCCATTGAGGCCAGGATCTCCTCCATGGCCATGGTGGTTTCAGCTTCCAGAGTGGTGTACACCACCAAGTCACTCCTCCTCCTCCAGCCCATATATGCCCACCCCCACAGCAATAATTCCCCTGGTAACAGTAATAACTCAAGAAAAGACAACAATAATATTAAGGGGCAGGAGGAGGTACAGGAGAGAGATAACTAACTAACTTACTGATCAGTTGGCCTGATAAAAGCAGCAGGGGAATTTGATGTGTGTGAGAGTACTAGCCATGCCCCCCCACTTATATAAGTACCATCTCAAGACGGGGACAATAATTTCTCTCATATGCCAAACTTATAAGAACTCCGTCCAATGAAATGCCAGCAATTTATACACTCTCCATCCAAAAGTCAAATTATTTTTACTTCTTTTTTTCATCAGTATCAAAACACTCTCATTTTTCTTTTTAAAGAAAAATACTACTCCGTATAGCCCTAGAAATTCGAGTCGCGCATTTTTTTGGCTTTTTGCGGAATAATATATTTTTTTAATAATTTTGTGAAATCAAAGTAAAAAATTATTTTTGAGATGGAGAGTGAATATTAGTTCCATGGTCATTTTACGAGAGAAAGCATTGTATTTGTTATGATAATTCTATTGGGTCAACTTGTTATGGAGTACCTTATTTGGAAAAGTCAAGATACACAGTATTCAAATGATACGGAGTAAAAACAAATACTCCGTAGTATTATTTTAACATACACAAATAAAAAGTGTGACAAATGGTTCAAAAAAAATAGACATCCCCATTCACGTGGTTCACTAACAAGAACCAACAGAGGGACTCTACCCATTGTCTGTGTCATAAAACAGAAGAATACATACCATAGTGATCCATGAGTGCATAACCTGGCTCCACCTCCATAGCTGGCCAGACCAAAACGCGAACGTCTCGGCCAATACTAACTCATAAAGCAGCCGCCCCCCCCCCCCCCACCCAAAAAGAATAACTGTTAAAAGGAAAAGAAGCTTAATTAAAAATCTGTTTTTTCGTCCGATTATAGCGTATGTTGTTGCTACATTAATACATTTATCAATTACTAACACTTTCATGCATTGAGTAGGGGCAATGGGTATAGCTGCCAAATCAAGTCAGAATATAAATTCAGGAACTACAATCAAGAAAATAGGTGAAAATACTGATTATGATATGATGATGAACCTGAGCAATGTGTGGTGTGGGTCTTGATACTGCTCAGAGGGACCTTGTCCTTGTATAACAACTTTCAGTGTTAAAATCACTTAACAAAGGAGTAATTAATTGCATTAAATGCTATGGACCACAAGAAAACACTATAAAATTTATACTCCTGATTTGACTATATTATTTTAATACATATCTAATAAAATATGTAAAGATAAATAAAAAATATACAGTTTAGTGAATAGTGGAATGGTAAAACAATAGAATCACACTCCCACCATGGTAAATAGGAGTAGTGCAATTGGGAGAAAACAAGGAGTGTAGTCTCTTAACCTGCAATTGACTGCAATGCAATTTTTAACAGGATGCAAAAGACAAAAATTATTTCTTTTTCCACTCATTCCCCTCAAACCAAACACACCCTTCCTTAATCCACTTGCCCATTATAGTCATCTTTTTTCCAAAAGTTGTGAGCATGAAGGACCAAGCCATGTGAACCAAACAATCATACTTCAACCAACAATAATAAGCAATCATCTCAATTTTTACAACCCGAGTTTTGTTCTAGGCAATTGTCATTCATCCATATATATATATTTAAAGTACTACTTCCTTCATTCTTTTTTAAGTGACTATTATGTCTTTCCCGATACATTAAATAATAAATGAATGAAGACATAAAGTATGTCTACATTCGTTTATTTTTCAATATATCAAGAAAGTCGTTAGAAAAAGAACACATGAATGTTGAGTCACACCCAAAATATATGCAAGGTAAAGGCAATGTATTATCCCACAACTTCACTATACCATATATACCAGAGAGCACACAAATTATGATTAAAGAATATCAAGCACATCTGTATCCACTCCATTAAAACACTTTTACAGAACAACTAAGTAAATGGACACAATTCAAAACAGTGTGCTAGATCACATTCAACTTTAACTAAGCATACATCAAATTTCAAAATTCGATAATAAAAAGCTCTTTAAAATACTCCGTATTAGCATAGTGCAATAACAAACCAAAGTTTCTACGGGTACCTTTCCTAGCTTTTCATTGCAGTTGTGTATTATACATAGGCAATATCTTCAGCAATAAAGTTCTGACATTTGTACTACTGTATCAATTTATCAAGCACAATATACTCAGCTGCCTCCTGCCCTAGGAAAATGCATGAGCCAGTTGTCTACAAATCACCTAGAAGCAACTTGTTGAGTTAGAGCCAAATCACTCTCTAGTCTCTCCAAAACACACCCCCTTCACCATGTCAAATTATGTGGCTGATTTTCCTAATTAGATCCAAGAGCATTTCCATCTCGATGTGGCATGACAACGTAAACTATTAACGATGCAATAATTCCTCATATTTGAAACAACAGTTTTCTTAATATTCAAGCTAAGTAGCCAGTTTGAGTGAAAAAAAATATCAATCTTGATGGAAAAATCACTTCAATTTTTAGGGGAAACAATTAATATTTTCCCCTTTGTGTTGTCAAAGTAGGAAACATTATATGAGAGGCCAAAAATGACAAAATAGAAAAATATAATCTCCGAGATGTTTGTGGAAACTCAAGTCGTGGAAAAAAAATGGGAATATAACCACATAGTACCAAATCCTTTTTCCACTAATCACCAAAATTAAGTGGGTACAACCAATAATCCTCTTTTAAACCATTAGAGGCACACACAATCATCAAGTAAAAACTTGGAACACCAACATCGCAATTACATCCACTGAAAGTGGAAAGACATAGCAGAACCGCAGCAGAATACTAAAATACCGACATATAGAGGCCAAATACCACTTTTGGATATTGAGAAGAGCATGTCAGGATCAAAATGCTAAAATTTCATCCCGATCAAAGTTCATTTGGTTGTAGTTTTGAAGCTGAGGTTTGGAGCTTGAAGAAGTAGTGGACTGTATTGCGTGAAAAGTTCCTGGTCTGATAACAAGACCAAAAATAGGAAGGTGGTGCCTTGTGCCAAAAGTTTTCAAGGCAAATACTGGCCATGGAGCATGTCTTGTTGGTGTTAACATGGTTACAAGATGGTGCGGCCTAACTGATTGAAGATCCGCGATCAATGCCTTCTATCGAAAGTCTTTCTGACAATGAGAAGATCAGGCGACAATGCGACATGTTTTGCAAGGTTGTAGCGGTAGTGCAATATGGCTTGCAGATAAGGTCACGAGTTGTGTTGTCCTTGAATTGAAGGGATGATTATTGGGTGACAAGCACACACTTTGGATGGAGAAGAAACAAACCAAATTATAAGTGTTCTCCCAACTCGAGTTGTATGAGGCCTTTTCGAAGGTATCAAAAAACAAATCATGAGGATTTGATTCAAAACAAACAATATCATACTAATGAGGTGAAGGTAGGAACAATCCCAACAAATGTGCCCCTTGACATCACAAAGTAAAGTACTATTGATGCAACAGTTCTTGATATTTGAAACAAAATTACTGGATATTTTGATCACATGACCTGTGAAGGTCCTTGCAGGAGATCTTATTTCAGAGATAAACACAGTCCAAGTACTGGACTAATGACCATAACAACATGATGAAAGTCAACTTCAATAGAAGCCATGAGAAAAGCTATTACAGAGCAGAAACTCATGAATTGCCAACCTTCAAAAAACCTGAACCATGCAAGTCAATCTAGTACATTGACCTTATCAGTTATCACTTGGAGAATAATGACAGTAAGAAGACAATTCTTGAGAATGGAGTTAAAGGGAAACAGGCCTTAGAGATTGCAGTAAAGCTTTACAGCTCCTGCTCCATTCTTCGGATTATGAGATCCACTGCTGCATTTGCTGATGAAAATGCTCCATGAAAGCTCTCTTGATAGGAAATGGACTCCAAATCTTTAGCCATCTTCAACAATATCTCACCAATCTCCATCTGTTTCTCCATTAATGATTTACAGAATGAAGCGGAAGCGACCTTGCTAATTTCCAAATTCGCATCTTCCGGGCAGTATTCATCATCCAACCACTTGTTGAGAGTAACTCTCAGCCATTCCGACACCTGCAAAAACCAATTGTGTTTTGCTCTCATTCAGTATGAACAGGCTGAAAACTCCATATCTTTTTCCTACTACCACAGCTTAAAATTTTCAACAAATTGGGAATGAAATCGAAACAGGAAGGGGACGAAAATCACCTCTAACGCTTTAGATGGTTCCGTCCAGTGGATTGGAACCCTAAGCTCTTCAACTAACTCCTCTGGTTCTTCGTCTCCGCTGCTCTTCGCGCTCAGAAGCGAGGGCGATCGCCTGAGACTTCTCCGATTAAATTCGACCGGAAAATTGAAGGCCGGCGCAAACGAAAATCCTCTCGCCCGCCGTACTGTACTGTTGGAAGGGATATACGCTACTGCGTTTAGAGTGGGAGCGGAGGAGAAGAGAGAAGCCATTTCTATCGTGAAAATGGAAAGTGATTCCAAAACTGAACCGATTTGGCGGGGGTTGGTATAATTGATAAACCCGATTAACAAAATGGATTGAGATGATCCACCAGAAATTTGTATTCACTATTCAAAGGAACAGGCCCCCAAATATCGAGGCCCAGTTATTTTAGTAAAATGAAGTAGTAATGCTGTATTATAGTAAGCCCAATAGACAATAGGTCCTACCAATTAAATGTACATTTAAGAGGCCCAATAGGTAATAATTCATATGGTGACTACTCATTTGTACTTCGTACTTACTAATACCCTTTCGTCCTGAAAAAAATCTCGATTAGACTTGACACAAATTTTAAAAAAATTAAAAATATGTGGTCAAAAGAGGTTAGATGCGAGTTCGGTTTTGAACCGATACCGGCGACTCTGACACCAAGTCCGGCGGCGGGGTAAGGGAACATGTGAACACGGTACCGGTTCTCGAACGTCCCAAAGCCGAAATAAAGTGTGATGGTAATAAAACCACCTAGTAGGCCGACTCTGGGGTCGGGTGAGTTGAGTAATCAAGTAATAGGAATCGAGAGAGAGTGTTGTGCAGAGTATGAATGTATTTGCTTGATTTTGGATCCCTTATAGGGCTAATGTCTAGGGTTATTTTTAACATTACATATTATACAACGGTAATAATCGTGATTTGACGCGCGTTTGTCGTCTAGTTATTGTCTTTGTCTCTGGAAATCATTGGGAGGCTCGTGACACTCCCTTGTTGCCTAGTTCTCATCCCTACCCGTTCGAGCCTTATGGTTCCACAGCCGTCCCCAGGTGGCAGATTCACGTGGGAAACAATAATGCTAAGAATATGATCTCTGTAAATACTTTCTATATAATAGGTGGAAACTCTATCCTATGCTTGTCAGTTTAAAACTAAAACTTAATTCACTTAATCTCGGATAATCGTCTTGCCGGTCCCGCAAAGAGCGGGATGGGGCTCGTCTTTTTTTTTCTTTCTTTCTTTTTTCTTTCTTTTTTTTTTGAAAGGGAGAGTAGATTAAATAGGGTTGGGCCGACAAGAAGAGGGGTCAAGGTCAAGGGTCCCATGCATGATAAACAAGCAGGTTAGGTGGGACCCAGGAGTTTTGTTCTTGGCCATCGTCTTTGATTAGGCCTTGGACTGGACCGGGGCATTGAAGAGTCCTGCGTATTAAAGGACCACCCATCCGTCGAATCAGACCGGCCCGGAAGATAGAGTACTAAAATTGGTTAAATCTTTTGACGACGGATTTGGTAAAATTTAAGGACTAAACTGGGAACGGATTGTCTGATTCCTCTACGCGAGGCCTTGTCAGTAAACCGTATTTGGATTTAGTTTGGACCCCGAACTCGTCAGTTACTCCCCAGTACTCCGTATTACGTATTTCCCGAGTATATGATTGACTCAATTTTTTTTAACATCTTAATTTAGATTCAGAACTGTATTTAGTATGAGAGTTAATACTTTATCACTTCGATTCTCTTGACATTGAACATTTTCAATTTCAAAGCGACTCGGTCAATTACAATGTTCCATTAATAAAATATATTGTTCTATTAGGAAAAAATTGATGAATTTTCACCATCTTAATATAGTTAACTCAATCTGTTAAAAAAATGTAATAGAGTTATTTTTATCTCACTATCTTCTACCGAGTATTATTTCTATTTTTCTTGTTTCTTCCAAATAAATTACTCAAAAAAATTGAAAGATAAAAGAGATTGTATGTACATATATGCCTCATTATGTGCGTGTACCAAATGGTTATTTGAGTAAAAAATTAAATGAAAGTTAAGAATCATGAAGACCTCTCTTAGGAGTAAAACACGGGTTCAACATTTTTTTACACCCTTGTCCCTTGTTGACTGTTTGAATTAGCTACATAAGCCACCCGCGCACATGATGTGAATGCATTAGCGAACATATTTGCGCAGCAGGTGGATGCGCATTTACAATAACAACTTGCATAGTCTTTACCATGATCAACATATATGTGGATAAGTTGGTGAGAAATTTTTCGACTACGTCGAATTATTGGAATTAGTTTAGTCCATAGAAAGTTCTTATGAATTAATTTGCGCTGAATCCATAACCAATAAACCAACTAAGGCAGTTTTCTAATGAAATCAACGGAACGCAGCTTAAAACTCAGGGCCCGTTTGGTATATGGAATTGATGGAATTGGAATTGAAATTGCATGAGATTCAATTCCATAGAATTAAATTCACCAATTCAATTCATTTTTTGCATTACAAATTCTAAATCTATATAATTTTTGTGTTACCAAACACCAGAATTGAAATTAAAGTCTCCAATTCCAATTCCATAGTTTGAATTTCATGTACCAAACGAGGTCTCATATTAGATCACGCCATCAAAACGCAGCCTAAAACTTATTAGATTGACACATAAAATTTCTCCAAATTTTGTTACAATTCGTGTAACTTAAGCTTACATTTTAAAATCAATCCCACACCCCATTATTACTAGCACAAAAACAAAGGCCTAGTAGTAGAGTTGATTTGCTAAAAAAAAAAAAAAGATGTCATTATTAGATACTTCGAATTGAGAGCATGGCGAGGATAATTATTCGGAGTTGATGACAATTATTGTTGCTCACTTTTGTTTTGCGAATGTTAATTGGAGGTGATGACACAAGTGCTACTTATGATTGAGTGGAGCAATTATTAATAATCCCATGATGCTACACAACACAATTATGGAATCATGTCACACAACATCAATGACGTACCCAAACACCAGCAGGCCGGAAAACAGGAGATACGATATCACAAACACTTTATTTACTTATAGTATTTTGAGGAATGCTGAGTTTACAAACAAAATGATCACAAATTTTACAAATTTATCATTTATATGATTAAATTTTTATTTTGAAATATTTTTAGACTTTTAATTTTTTATTGAAGTTCACAAATAATAATTTTATGAATTTTGTGACCATTTTATTTATGAATCTAGCATTTCTCATGAATTTTAGATATGAGATTAAAGGGCGTCAAGCCTATTAGGTTGGCTCATGACGTATCATTTACTCCGTATTATTTACGTTTGGACCTACGCGCCATTATTTTTTATCTAACCGTTCCGATCTGTGGATAAGTAGATGAAATATTTGCACTAAATAACATTAAAACTTAAGTCATTTCTCTAAATAGCACTTAAATTGTTTTATTCTTTAAATAGCATTTAATGATGTCCATAATGACCAATGACGACAAACATTTACTTGAATAATGACTAATGGATAATGACTAAAAGTGCTACATTGGGAAAAAACGCACGTAGTGCTATTTAGAGAAAGTCATTATGTTTTAGTGCTATTTACTTAAATTTCTCTAAGTAGATTCAGACTCACTGACCAGCTGCACGCATTCTACTCACCCTTCCGTCACAAACGATGATGTCATCAGTTTCGATTGAGCTTTAAAATGTTATTCGTAATCGGATGGTCATAAAGAACACAATTGAGATCGAAATAATAGTGGAAATATCTTGGGAGCGGAAGAGGATTATTTAGGAAAAGATGACTTTTGATCTTTGTTGAATCGCCACTATAATAGTGTAAGTTCCACATGGTAAGAAAAGTTGGTAACCAAGACGGGTTATGGATGCCTAACCAGGTAAGTAAAGATAAACGAAAGAGTAATAAACACAACAAAAAATCACTAGAGTGCAGGACATGCGAGGGGGCAACATCCAGTATTGTCCAATTTTACATATCATGACTCGAATACCTATTTAGCTAGGAAACAAAGAACTTTATTTATTAGTCTCCCGAATGACGGGTGATGGGTCCCTCTGCGGATCTCTCAAATTACTAGGGTTGCTTGGCGCGGGATCTGTCCGTCCGTGACGCCTGGCCATCTCCTCGAAATACGACCGGTCAAGCATGTCTAAAACGTTCGGCGCTTTTACTCTGGATTTCTTCATCCCCGGAACCGGTCACTCAATCAGAGTGGTGACCGGTCATTCGACACCGAATGTCAAAATGTCGCCAAGCTTCGCCTCCAAAAGATGACTTTCGTGACCGGTCACCTACCTCCTAGGTGACATGTCCCGGACCAGCACTCTGTATTGAAAAGTACAACTGGATATGTAATATACCTATCAACCACTACGACGCTCGTTTGAGCAAAGGAAGGGAATCATATACTCTAATTAGTTCTGAAGAATGGCATTAAGTATGATCATCACTATAATGCTTGTGTTTTAGGGTAGTGATATTGGCACTCCAACCATTACTATCCACACTTCACTCTCGTTTTTCTTCCTAAAATATCGTTGTGGACAATACTTCATTATCCGTAGTTATAAAAGTAATCAAGCTATTTAATTTTCTTTAACTTTTATTGATTTTATGCTTCCAAACAAATATATTTCCATATCATAAAATTTTTTATTCTCGTTTTCAGTTACCCTAAGTGCTTTTTTTCCCAACTTTTCAAGTATTTTTTGAAAGATACCCATTTTTTAAAGCTAATTTAATCTCTTTGACTTTACATACATTAAAAAAACATTGAAAAGAAATTGATAAACTATTGAAAAGGGAAAGTGACTAATTTGGAAACTTTTAAATGAAAGAGAATATTTTAAACTACATCTTTTTCATAGTAGAAAAAGAAAAAATGAAAAGATTATTTTCAAACTGACAAAAATGGGAAAAATTTTGTTAAGTAAAAAATTATATAGTCTAAAATAATTCTGTCATCCAACCATTCTAATCGCTAATGTAGTCACATTTCTCTTCTTAACCTTTTTAATGTATCTTTAATTCTATGAAACTTAAAAGAAAGAACTATTTTAAATTTATCGAGTATGAAAAGAATAAGATTTGCAATTTGAAGGAAAAATATATTATAACTCAATTCCCAAAAAATTGCTACTATTCTTATAGTACACTCCCATCATTCCACACTTGTCTCTACTTAGTTTTCTCAGATTGATTTCATAGATGTGAAGTTCTCACATTGAAAAATAAAGAAAAATATCACTTATATATATAGAAAAATGAATCCATACCTATCAGTTTTAGCTGTTGGGTTAGAATAGTGTATTCCAATTTTAAATGCAAGTGGATAATATTACCCGAGATTCTAGTGTTTCGGCCCACCGAAAATTTTAACAGTAGGGATTTAAAAAAATGTTAACAAGTAAAATGTGAATCATTAGAATATCTTTAGATGATATAAATATTTTGGACCACATATTCCCTTGACCTTGAGGATAATCTTATTACAAATGAGAAATGCAAAACGCTTGAAAAGCCAAAGTGCAGTTATAATGGCAGTAGTTTTAACGTAGAACACGGATTTACTCGCAGGTTACAACACCAATCTCTGTTACAGTTGCCGTCGAAATGGTGCGGTTTCATTAGAAAAGTAGAAACACCACTGCCTTTTTGACCCGAAAACCACTCTGTACTGTGTACTAGCCCCCGCCCAGTTAAGTTGAACCCATCAGGCGTCACCATAAACGGAGGCGTTTTCTTGCCCAATTATATAAAAACACCGTACCCTCCCCCTTATCTTCTCCGCACCTTCTCTCTCTCTCTCTGTCCAGTAAATCTAAGCTTCTTAATGTCCCCTCAGATCTGAATCCCTTTTCTCTTCCCCGTGGAAAACAGAGTGAATTATTATTATTTATTTAAAAGAGAAAAAAGGACGAGCAAGGACCAAGAAGAATGGCGTACTCGTTTCCGGAGGAAGTGTTGGAGCACGTGTTCTTCTTCCTGAGCTCCGACAAGGACCGGAACTCCGTTTCCCTGGTCTGCAAGTCCTGGTACGAGATCGAGAGGTGGTGCCGGAGGAGGATCTTCGTCGGCAACTGCTACGCCGTCAGCCCCGCCATCGTGATTCGCCGCTTCCCGGAGGTCCGATCGGTGGAGCTCAAGGGCAAGCCCCACTTCGCCGACTTCAATCTGGTCCCCGACGGCTGGGGCGGATCTGTCTTCCCCTGGGTCGCCGCCATGTCCCGGGCTTACCCCTGGATCGAGGAGATTCGCCTCAAGCGCATGGTCGTCACCGACGATTCCCTGCAATTGATTTCCAGGTCCTTCAAGAACTTCAAAATCCTCGTCTTGGCCATTTGTGAGGGATTCACTGCTGATGGCCTCTCTGCCATTGCAGCTAATTGCAGGTCTGGTTTTCAACTTATTATTATTATCCCCCCAGTCAATTTCTTGGATTTTAGCTGCTTCTTACCTCATTCTTTCTATTTAAGGACTATTACTAACTGAATGAAAACCATCTACTGATGATTGCAGTAAAATAAAACAAAACTTGACTCATGATTTTAGATCTAGAGACTCCAAAGTTTTGTTCTTTATTAAGCTGATTTGCATTTTCCCCCCATTATCAAAAGCTTGTTTTTTTTTGGGGAATTCTTAATTGATTGCAACCTGTAGTTTGTTTGAGCAAATCAACTACAAGTGCATTTTGAATGGAGATTTGGGTAGTAATTTCGGTTCTTGATTTTTAGTTAAATGAAAACCTTGCAATTGATTTCATTTCTTTTGTTGTTCACTTCTCAGACAGGAGTTTCTGTATGGTGTTCTTCTATCTTTACTTGCATATAAACGTAGGGCTTTTCGTGTGTATAGGGAAGCTCCTTGGGGAGTTTTTATTTGATTCTTTGCCTCCATCCTTTTAAAATACTCCTTCGGTTCTATTACGGCTTCCTACATACACTGAAAATCGAATGAATGTGGACATATATTATGTCTACGTTCATTCATTTCTCAGTATATCAAGAGAGTCCCCATCCGTTGCATGAGTATGGACGGAGTATTATTCATTGTTAAGTTAAAGCAGATGGACTCCGGTTCATTCTTTTTAATGGTGTAACAATGCAGGAATCTGAAAGAACTAAGCCTGCGAGAGTGCGAAATAGATGACCTGAGTGGGCAATGGCTTAACCAGTTTCCAGACAACTCAACCTCACTGGTGTCTCTTGACATAACTTGCCTGGGCTGTGAGGTGAGCCTCTCTGCTTTGGAGCGTCTGGTTTCTCGTTGCCCCAACCTGAGAACTCTTCGCCTCAACCGTAATTTCCCCCTAGAGAATCTTCCAAGCCTCCTTCGCCGTGCTCCCCAGTTGGTTGAGCTGGGGACAGGTGCCTTCTCTGGGGAGGTCCATTTGGAGGCCTTTTCCAATCTGGCAAATGCCTTCTCTGGCTGCAAGCAACTTAAGGGCATCTCTGGGTTCTGGGATGTGTCCCCCGCTTTCCTTCCAACCATTTATTCGGCCTGCCATGGAATTACCTCTTTGAATTTGAGCTATGCCACAGTCCAGAGCCCGGACCTTGTAAAGTTTGTAAGCCAGTGTCACAACTTGCAGAAGCTATGGGTATGTTTTTGCGTGTTCTTTGATTTATACTGAACATTGGAGTATCATTTTCTGTTTGGAAACTGAAATATGCCAGGAAAGAATTTCAAGAATGAAGGAAATATAGGGTAAAATTTGAAAGAAAATGCTGACAAATCACAGATTCAAATCACTGCTGACAAAGATTTCAAACTGCAGGTTCTGGATTTCATTGAAGATCATGGCTTACAAACTGTTGCTGCATCATGTAAGAATCTTCAAGAGCTTAGGGTCTTCCCTTCCGACCCTTTCGTAGTGGAACCAGACGTGATCCTGACAGAGGAGGGCCTCGTGGCCATCTCGGCGGGCTGCCCCAAGCTGCAGTCAGTGCTATACTTCTGCAGGCAAATGACAAACAACGCACTCGCCACCATTGCCCGGAACCGCCCGAACCTGGTCCGGTTCCGGCTCTGCATCATCGAACCGCGAGCCCCCGATTACCTCACCCTAGAACCGCTGGACTCCGGTTTTGGAGCCATCGTGGAACACTGCAAAGAGCTGAGGAGGCTTTCCCTGTCTGGGCTGCTCACTAACCGTGTGTTCAAGGCCATCGGGACCCACGCGAAGAAACTAGAGATGCTCTCTATAGCTTTTGCGGGCGAAAACGACCTTGGCCTCCACTATGTGTTGTCTGGGTGTGACAGCCTGCGGAAGCTGGAGATTAGGGACTGTCCCTTTGGAGATAAGGCACTCCTGGCCAATGCTGCGAAGCTGGAGACAATGCGATCCCTTTGGATGTCCTCTTGCCCGGTAACTTTCGGAGCATGTAAGCTTTTAGGAAAAAAGATGCCCCGGCTTAACGTCGAGGTCATAGACGAGAGAGGCGTGCTGAACCATAAAAGAACCGAGGACGAACCGGTTGAGAAACTATACATATACCGTTCGGTTGCTGGCCCGAGGCCGGACATGCCCTCTTTTGTCTGGAAGATGCATCCTTGAGGTTTGATTGTGGTACAGTCACACCAAGTTTGACACTCAAGTTTGACACCAGGTGTTTCACATACGTGTACAGACAGTTGTTATCTGTGGTGCACAGATAATCATTGTCCGTGCATGTGTATGAAACGCATGGTGTCAAACTACATTTACACGGATCCCTTCTGCATATGCAAACTCGATGAGAATGAGGTTTCTGCGGTTGAAGAGCATTAGGTGGGGGGGGGGACGTCGGGCAGGGAAGGGCAGGCCGGGCAGGGAAGAGTTTCGTTCATGCCCCTGAAGAATGTGGGTTGGAGACTTGGAGGGAGGGAGGAGGCTATGGAGTTCGAATGCCCATTTCATTTTGTATTGTTATCATTATTACTTGGCTAAGCTTAAGCTTAAAGTACATCATTTATTAGCTAAAATAATAAAGAGTCATGAGAACTATAGACATCAATTATTTCTCTTTGTATTATTAAGAGGCTTTTTTTCCAAGTGCAGAGACAAAAATGTCACTCCACTGTATTATTCATGAAATTTTCTATTTGGTATATATCTTAGAAAAATGATACTCCATACTTGTAAACTGCACTTACAACTTTTGTGCATAATTGAGGTTCTCCCATTGATGGGAGATCACAAGTTTGAACTTCATTAGAAACATTGATTTTCTATGTTTTAGTAAGTGAGAAATTATGTATCAACAGTATTACATTGTGATACATAAAGGGTACTTCAACATAAAAAATGTGATGTTATATGCTCTTTAGACTTTAGAGTTACACACTTACTCTATATACAAATTTGAACTACATGGTTTTATAACTTTATAGAAAATTGATAAGCATTGTCTGTGTAAATTAAAAAATTCTCGGCGGTATATATATTAAGTATGTGTAGTGTTCACATATCTTAATAAAGCTTTTTTCCTTTATTGAGTATTATTAATAATGTAGATTATCGGAAAAAAATACTTGCGGAGTATATAGTCGATACGTTAAAAAAGACTTCGTTCTTTTTGCTCCATCTTCAATTATCGTAATTTAAGTATCTAAAAGACTAGAAGAAAAAAAAATGATGAAATAGACAACTAGATATGCACACAACTCATACACAGACATGGTTTTCACAGATCTCGTGATCATTCATTTTGTAAGAACGGCCACCATAAGAGTTGATGAGAATATATAGTACTGAACTACTGATTGCAAAACCTAAGAAAGTAGCACAACAACAATGTCCAAAATCCTAGTGAGCATAAAGCGACCTGGTAATTTCTTAACCCGTCTTCTCTACCTAGGCCGAATGATGTTCCGTTCATCCCATAGCACACAATTGCACGTCGCTCTCTTGTTCTTCCATTCAGCTCCACAAGTATAACAGAATTCATATCCACATCTGTGAAATAAAAGATTGAAAAGATGAGCCAGAAACACAAGACAACAAATATTTGAAGGGCTTCTACACAGGTTAAGCCCTGGCACAGAATCAAGAAATAAAAAGTATTATGTCTCATAAATGAATGTTCAATCATTTCCACAAAAAAGGGTGTTGCAGGCAGGCATTAGAACAGCAAAAGAAAAGAAAACAAAAACTTTAGAAATAAAACCAGACAAAGTTCATATTCTTACTACCAGGTCAAGGGTGAGAGTAAAAACCTGCAAGAGATGTGGTAACAACCAGAAGAAAGTTCAACCATGTGGTTGCACTTCACACATTGGCGCCACTTTCTCTTATTGGCAAGAGCCTTGACCGCTGACTCGTCGGATTGAGGTCTTGGGGTCCTTTTGTAAACATGGCAAGTCATATTATAGTGCCATGGGACCTTGCAATTGAGACAGAAATACTGGTTGCATTTCATGCATTTCCTGGCTCCAGATGTTTCAGCACCAAAAAATTCATTCTTGGTATATTCTAAAACCTTAACTTTCGACATTAATGCAGAACATCTGGGATAGGGGCAATAAACTTTGTCAGTAACAGCTATAGACGCCTCCTTCATGCGATTGCTGATGATCTCAACTAAACGGGGATCTAGAAACTTTGCACAGCTATCAACCTCGATATTAGTCTTACAGCCATCATGAGGACACTCAGCCGTCTTCCCAACAAGTAACTTTGCTTCCACGTGCTGTTTCATACACGAGAAGCAGAACCTATGCAGACAGCCATCAATCAAAAACATCATATTGACATCAATGTCTTCAAAACAGATTGCACAAGTCTCCTTCAAACTCTTTCCAGCCTTGGTTTCTACAGACCATGCAACTTGTGAAATAATGGCCTCTCTTGCAAGTTTGAAGGCGAACTTGATTTCATTCCGACCCACATATGATGGTTCGCAAAAGGTGAACCTTTTCTTGAAATCCATCACCTTATTGACCAAGGTTGCAATCTTGCTCTGATTTGCTTGCGACCTGCCTGAGACCTGCATCCACAAACCAATTCAAGCTACCTAAATCATACAGTATGATGCAAATTATCTAGAACCAAAATGCAATTTCAAATACTAAGAACAAGACCAGAGGGCCCTGTTACAATAATGCATGATTTAGATATGCTCTGCAGAAGTAGTTTATGTCTATGGAACAACGCAATTTGTTATCAAATATTCAAAGACACTAAACTCACTGGAGAAGGAAGAAAAACTTACGTATTGATATACCATATAGTTATCACAAAAAAAGTTCACCCTTTCCAAATTCAAAGCCACAGCCGCTTCCAGCCCGGCTACCAGAGCCTCAAGCTCTGCTCCCTCATGAGTGAGCATCCCACCATTTTCCAAACCTCTCTTCATCTCAAACAAGATATTATCCTGAAAATCACAAATTGCCACACCAATGGACGCCACAGCCACCCTCATGTCCTTAATCATCTCTTCGCTCACAATACCCTTACAATACATTCTGACCCTCTCAGTCTGGTCCCCCACTCCATCTCCGTAAGGCCTATGAATGTAGTCTCCGGTTTCCGCCCACTGGTCCTCCGGGATACTCATAATCTCCCGAGCGAACTTCTGATCGTGTGCTCGACGGTCGAGGTCTTGTTTCATTGACAGAATTAGGGTTTCGCTTTGCAACTGATCGCGGCGCTCCTGGTCGAAACGGGCGAGATCCTCCAAGAGGAGGGTCGTGTAGTCGAAGCCTTCGTAGCCGTCGCCGTCGAAATGCGGCGGCGGAGGGGGAGAAGTGGAGGTGGAAGGTTCGGAGGTTTCGGGGAGGGAGGCTGTGATGGCTTCTTGCATTTGGAGGTTGAAGGCGAATCGGAGGTCGGATTCTAGGGTTATGGCCGCCATGAACTCTCGGCGTTGCTCGTCAATAAGGGAGTCCAGTAGCCCTTCGTACTCCATACTCTTCATCTTCTTCTTGTCCCTTTCCAATTTCCATGTGGCTGAGTAGCCAGCCAAAACAACTCTTTATAGTCTTTAATGGGTTCTGGGCCAAAACTGTTCACCATTGATGCGCGGGCGCCGTCATTCCAAGATATAAAAAAAAAGGTACACTAATATTTTATCCAAAAAATGTAGTGATATTTTAATGATTTGCATTGAGTCAAAATATTAGTTTACCTAAAAAATGTATTGATATTTTTGTTCAATTTAAATCATTATTCTAGTATAAATTATAAAATATTGATGCCTTTGAAATACAAAATGAAATACAAATTTTAGTGTACAAATAATTTAGTGCTAAAATATCTCCAAGAAAAACCCGATGACCTAAGGTTTTCGAGTGACAAGCATATCCCCAACGAATGCAGTAACAGAAATTGGATCTGTATGTATCTTTGAGAGAGAATCAACACTGAGAAAACTACTTATCTACATTTTTTCAACAAAAATATCACGAGCTTTAAATATTTTTCGCATGGTAGTCAAAATGACTAAAAGAATTAAATTAGGAAAATGGTTTTGAAATGAAAAAAGTATTTGTTAAACAAATACATGTATTTTGTAAAATTGTGCATTTCCCTTTAAAGAGTTGAACTTATAATTTATAAACAATTCAACTACGTGATATTGTGTTTGGTTCAAGAAATCTAAAGGGGAAAAAACAAAAATGATTATTTCTTATTTTTCTTACCAAAATGGATGAATTTGATTTTCTCTAATTATACCTTTTAATTATTTTTCTTGCACAGTTCCACTATTATTTTCTTTTTCTCTAACCAAACATGAAAACTAATTTTCCATCTCATTTTATTTATTTATTCACTCCCAAATCCTTGAACCAACATAGTAGGTGTTTCTCTGTTCTTATAAGCGGGTCAAAATTACACATATATAGTTTTTAACTGATAAGTTGTATGATGACGTTTTTTCTATGTTTATAAGCTCCTTATAAGTACAAAAATAATTACATCTTACTTTTTTTATTTGGTTTTTTTATTTCTTCATTTTGACTAGGTTATTTACAAAAAATTTTCTTACCTTTTGTGAATATTCCCAAATGAAATATTCCTCATTTAAGTTATTTTACTTCCACGAAAATATATTTAACGTATAAGCAATTTATAAGTTAAATTTTTTATCAGCAATAAATTAATAAGCACCAGTACAATGAAACAACTTCATACTTTTAGACAATCCACAATACAAGTTACTTCTCAATTAAGCGAATATATTAGAGCATTGGCAATGACATGGTTTTGCCATTGCTACGCCTGCCACCTCAACCGAAAATCACTTTTGTCTCACGTGTCACTTGCCTTCCACCATGACAAGCATGGTGGGCGCGAGGCACTTCTTTTTTTATAGAAGAAAACGATTTTTTTAAAAAATGAGTACATTTATTTTTCTTAAAAAAATTAACAAAATAATTGTTAATAATAAAAATACATTAACAATATGTCAAAAGTGAAAAAAAATTATGACTTGCAATTGCATGACATGTCACTATATTCATTTACCACACATTGACTGAATTGCTTTTGATTGATTGAAACGTGTCGCGTCAACGCGTGACATTCCATTTCTCTACCTTGGCATTGTTAGTACTCTAAAAACACTTTGTTCTTTTGCATTACTCAAAATCATTTTATTGTAAATTGGCTATAATTAAATTTTAGATATTCAAGAACATTATATTACCCTAAGGGCACTGTAAATACGTTTGAAGCCCCGGGGCTTCAAACCAGGGCTTCAAACCTTCTCTCTCTGCCACGTCAGCTTTAACTTACACCAAAAATTCACTGGAAATGGGTTTGAAGCCCTGGGGCTTCAAACTGGGGCTTCAAACCTTCATTTTTTACATTTTTAAATATACATCTTCTAAAATTAAATTAATAAAATGTCATTAATTTATTATTTAATTAAATTGAAACACAAATAATAGAAAAATACATTAATTAAATAAAAAACGACAATAATTTAAAAAAAGATATATTAATAAAAAAACTAAGGTAATTTATATTTCTCCTTGATCTCTCTTATTCGTTGCTTGTAGATCATTAGTCCAATCTCGGACAACGTCCCGGGGTCGGTTTGCATGACTTTCATCTCGGCCTCCTGCTCCTTTAGCTTCAACTCCTTCTCCTTTAGCTTCAACCTCTCTTGCTCTTGGAGATTGAACGCCCGAAATTGTTCAACCATTTCCCGACCGATTTCGTCGCGGGAAGAAGCGGAAACAGAGGCGGACCCTCCCGAACCAGAGGCAATGGATTTTGCCTTCTTTCTTCCGATCGGCCGTGGAATGAGGTCCTCACCATCAGAATCCGCAACGTTGAAGGGAGGGATTTGATCGGTCGAATCGATAGTCTCGTCGACCTCAACCTCGGCGTCGACGATGGATCTTTTCCGGAACGATCCGCCGTCGGGATTGTTGAGTTGTTTCCACTTCGGGGAACGACTTAAAATCCTCCAAAGATCGATGGGCACCTTGCCTTGGTGCCCGTCGTCCACTTTTGGATTGACCGTGTAGCCTCGGTCAACTTGCTTTTGGCTTTGTGGCTTTTCCGGCGTGTACTTTTTTTCGAACCGGTCGCTTCCGGTTGAGTCTCCGGAACCAAATCTCGCTTGACATACCCCGATTGTTGTGGCTCGTAGTTCGGCGGTATATCGCCCAACTCTTGGTAATACCACATCGCGGCGTCGCTTGGCGCGAGATTGTCGGGAAAGAAGCCGGAGCAGGAAGGATTCATGTTGAAAAGAGAGGGGGTGATTTCGAAATTTAAAAATTGGGAAGAAGAAGAGATTGAAGATGGAGAAGATGTGAGATATTGGGAAGNATCTCGCTTGACATACCCCGATTGTTGTGGCTCGTAGTTCGGCGGTATATCGCCCAACTCTTGGTAATACCACATCGCGGCGTCGCTTGGCGCGAGATTGTCGGGAAAGAAGCCGGAGCAGGAAGGATTCATGTTGAAAAGAGAGGGGGTGATTTCGAAATTTAAAAATTGGGAAGAAGAAGAGATTGAAGATGGAGAAGATGTGAGATATTGGGAAGGGGGGGTTTGAATTTATAAGATTTTTTTTTTTTGAATTTGGGGGGTGCAACGGCTAAAATAGCCGTTAGGGGGGAGGGGGAGACAAATAACGCAGCTTCATTCGTTTGACGCACGCCTCCTCACGCCACGTTAACGCCGGTGGGGGCGGTGTTTAACGCCCCCGTGGCGTTAAAGGCCCCGTAACGCCGGTGGGCGTGAGGAGTATACCCAGTGCTCTAACAAGCGAGTAAGTCAAGGGTTAATCGATCGAGTCGGTAAACCTAAATTAACAACCCGATCTACTATAATTAAAGTAAAAATATTTTATATTATCTTAATATATAAATAGTCAAATTAAATAAATAAACTCGATAGACACATCCAAACAAATAAACGACCAAGAGCCCAACAAAAAAAGGTAATCAATTAATCGTACTATCCACATAGCACTGGTAATGGCCGTAATGCCCTGGGCGTTATTACCCCTTTTAACGCTAAATGGGCAACAAACACTGCCCCCTTGGGGCTTCATCCGGACTTCATTTCTTCTACTTCAAATGTTTAACGGGCTTCAAAGCTCTCCCCCCCTCCACTCTCTCTTTAAAAAAAATATACACAAACATAATTTTTTTACTCTATATTTTGTTGTTTAATGTAATATTTTTTTGTTTAAATTTTTTTTAGTAATGTAATTTTGTTTTGTTTTTTATTAAATTTAACATACTTTTTTTTATTGATTGTATTTTTTATTTGATGAATTATTTCAGTTTGCAATATGTTACTACAGCTCGGATTTGAATGAAGATATTTTTAGTTGCTCGAATAATTAGTAATTTCTTTGTAGTGTTATTTTTTTATGGATGTGATATTTTTTTAATGAATGAAACTTTTTTATGAATGTATTCTTCTATGATATTTTTTAACTGGGTTGTTGTTGTTGTTGTATTCTTCTATGAATGTAATATTTTTTTAATGAATGTAATTTTTTTAATGCACTAATCTCCTTTTGATTAATTTAAATAATAAATTAATTAAAATTTAATAATTTAAATTTAGAAGATGTATATTTAAAAATGTAAAAAATGAAGGTTTGAAGCTCCTGTTTGAAGCCCCGGGGCTTCAAACCTATTTCCAGTGAATTTTTGGTGTAAGTTAAAGCTGACGTGGCAGAGAGAGAGTTTGAATCCCCGGGGCTTCACGAGTATTTCCAGTGCTCACATATAGCTTATACCGCCCTTCTCAAATTAATTTTCTCGGTTCTTATTACAGTCGCTCAATAACTTATGTTTGTATGAATGTTTTTATTGATCAATTAATACAATAAATTATTCGTGTCGCCTCTTATTTTGAAGTTTTTTGATGTAGTTTTAAATGATATAATTTGTACTATGTTGTTTATTTTTATACGAATTTATAATTAAAATTATTCTAAAAAAGGGTGGAATTTTACACATTTTCCAAATGAGAAAATAAATTGCAATGGAATTATAACCTAGAAATGGTCAATGAGCGTCTCAAAGAGAATGAAGAAGGATCAAAATGATTTTGAACCAAAACGAATGAATATGATTTAAAATTAGAGCTACATATAAACCAGATATTGACCGAACCTGAGGTTACTCTTTTTATATTTCCAAATAGATATATGCATTATGCAAAACTTAAGGTCACATGTAGAAAAGTATTTTTTTTAATTGTAATATACAGTACATACTACGGAGTATATAAATATGCACGTATGCAATATTTTCTGCATATCCAAATAATTATATGGAATAATTCTTACACCGTGCAACAACATTATAGAATTATACTTCCCCCAATATAAAACACATTTTTGTAAAATATAATGTGTGTGTATATATATATATGTATATAAACTAAAATATAAACACATTTTTGCCCGCCCATCCCGCCCAGTTGCCTCATGCGGGCCATGCTCAAATCTCAAGCCCATCCATCCCTAACATTTTGCGGGCTGGCCCAGGGCGAATGGGTACATACAATTGTCCATATGCAACCTTTTTTAAGGGCGGGATGGGTGGGCAACCCGAGTTTGTGTGGGTCTAATTAAAAACAAGAGCAATGCTAGGGGTACACCAAAAGTGTACCCCAAAATGCCCAAATGTACACCACCCCTTTCTCCACCACTAATTTTTATTTAATTTTTATTTTTTTATTTTATTTTTAATTTCTTGCCTAATTATGTGGACAAGGAGGGGTGGGGGACAAATGGGGTAGGTGTACCCTAGCATTTTTCTAAAAACAATGCTCGAACAAAACAATAAATTTGAAATATGTACTAGAAATCGATAGTCGCGTTTCAAATCACGAAATTAAGCAAATAAGCCCTTAGTAAGTATGACTTCACCACTACAATAGTGTAATGTGATGATAAATTTTTAAGAACAGCCAGCATAACAGTTGGTGATCAAATATGATACTAATTACAAATACTAAGAAAAGTGGCACAATAATAACGTATTAACGTCAGACAACCTAGTAAGCAAAAAAATCACCTGGTAATTGCTTAACCCATCTTCTTTAACGCTTGCGAACGATATTATGCTCATCCCATAGTACGCATTTGCACGTTGCTTTCTTGTTCTTCCATTCAGCTCCACAAGTATAGCAGAATTCATATCCACATCTGTGAAAGCAATGCGGTACAAAAAGCCATATTAGAAGTTTTATGACAAAATTCAGGAGCGATGGTAACTACTCGTATATTTTTCAAAGGTCTAGGAGTCATTTGGCTTTGTTTCTTTTTCTTTTTGAGATTTCTGGGATCAGGATCTATAGAGTTAGCCAAAAGAAACCAAGCCAAATGGATCCTTAGAGTTTAAATTTGGGGGTGGGTCGGAGTGGCCGAGTGGGGGTGGGGGTAAAGATATTACAGTCTTATTACTTTACACTTTTGGGAGACTTATACCCTCACTCCGTCTCAAAAAGATTTTTTTGCTCACTATTCACATGATCAAAATTGAACCTCTTTCTTTGCGTATTTTCATTACTCATTTGATGAAATAATACTCCCTCCGTCCCATAGAATTCTTTACACTTGCTATTTCAAGACCAACTTAAATTTTATCTCTACACCTATTTTCAATGTTTCATTGATCACGTTAACTATTGGTTTGTAGTTTTATTTATTTATTTTTAAATATACAGAGTATAAATTGTTTTCTATACAAATTTGAAATAAATAGAACTAAAAAAATTCAATCAAACATCTCAATCCAAAGCATAAAAGGTTTTGTGGGACAAATGAAGTATAATCTTGTCAAATACTCCGTATTATTCTGTAAAACTTTTGATTAGTTTTTAAATATATACATTACTTCGTATATTTTTAAATTTTACACTAATGTAAACAACTTCACCCAAACATCGTAACCCGCAACATGAAAGTCTTCTTGGGACGTGAAGTACGCCAAAAGGTTAAAAGCTAGAAAAGATGAGCGAGAAACACAAGACAACAAATGTGTGAAGGGCTTCTACATTGGTTAAGCCCTGCCACAGAATCAAGAAATAGAAAATATCATGACTCATAAATGAATGATCAATCATCTCCGCAAAGAAGAGTGTTGCATGCAGACATTAGAACAACAAAAGTAAAGAATATATAAAGCTTCAGAAATAAAAACCAGACAAAGTTCATATTCTTACTACCAGGTGAAGGGTAAGAGAAAAAACCTGCAATAGATGTGATAACAACCAGAAGCAAGTTCGACCATGTTGTTGCACTTCACACATTGGCACCACTTTTTCTCATATGCAAGAGCCTTCACCACTGACTCACCTGATGGAGGTCTTGGAGAACTTTGGTAAGCACGGCAAGTCATATTATAGTGCCACGGGACGTTGCACTTGAGACAGAAATACTGGTTACATTTCCTGCATTTCCTGGCTGGAGATGTTTCAGTACCAACAGATTCACGACTGGTGCATGTTAAAACCTCAACTTTCGACATTAAATGAGAGCATTTGGGATATGGGCAATAAACTTTGTCGGTAACCGCTATAGATGCCTCCTCCATGCGATTGCTGATGATCTCAACTAAATGAAGATCGACAAATTTGCCACAGCTATCAACGTCGATAGTAGTCTTACAGCTTTCATGAGGACACTCAGCCATCTTCCCAGCAAGTAACTTTGCTTCCACATGCTGTTTCATACAAGAGAAACAATATCTATGCAGACACCCATCAATCAAAAACATCCTAGTGACATCAATGTCTTCAAAGCAGATGGCACAAGTCTCCTTCAAACTCTTCACAGCCCCAGTTTCTACAGACCATGAAATTTGAGAATTATGGCCTCTCTTGCAAGTTTGAAGGCGAACTTGATTTCATTCGGACTGACGTACGTAGCTTCACAAAAGGTGAATCCGTTTTTGAAATCAATCACCTTGTTGACCAAGGTTGCAATCTTGCTCTGATTTGCTAGCAACCTGCCTGAGACCTGCACCCTCAAATCAATGTAAGCTACCTAAAGCACTAAAGCATATGGTGCATAGACTAAGGGGGGGGGGGGGGGGGGGGANNNNGAATGTTCTGTCACATGAATGCAAATTATCCCGAATCAAAGTACTAAGAACATTGTGTCTGTGGATCAACATAATTTGTTATCAAAATGTCAAACATTGTCAATTAACCAGCAGCAACATGTAAATTCTCTACATGATTACATAATAAAATACACTCAAAGACAATAAACTCATTGAAAAAGGAAGCAAAACTTACATATTGATATACCATATAGTTATCACAAAAAAAGTTCACCCTTTCCAAATTCAAAGCCACAGCCGCTTCCAGCCCGGCTACCAGAGCCTCAAGCTCTGCTCCCTCATTAGTAAGCATCTCACCATTTTCCAAACCTCTCTTCATCTCAAACAAGAGATTATCCTGAAAATCACAAATTGCCACACCAATGGACGCCACAGACACCCTCATGTCCTTGATCCTCTCTTCGCTCACAATACCCTTACAATACATTCTGAGGCTCTCAGTCTCCTTACCCTCTCCATCTCCGTAAGCCCTGTGAATGTTGTCTCCGGTTTTCGCCCACTGGTCCTCCGGAATATTCATAATCTCGCGAGCGAACTTCTGATCGTGAGTTTGACGGTCGAGGTCTTCTTTCATTGACCGAATTAGGGTTTCGCTTTGCAACTGATTGAACCGATCCTGTTCGAAACGGGCGAGATTCTCCATAAGGAGGCCCGTGTAGTCGAAGCCTTCGTAGCCGTCGACATCGAAATGCGGCGGAGGAGGAGAAGTGGAGGTGGAAGGTTTGGAGGTTCCGGAGAGTGAAGCAGACATGGCTTCTTGCATTTGGAGGTCTAAGGCGAAGCGGAGGTCGGATTCTAGGGTTTCGGCCGCCGTGAATTCGCGGCGTTGCTCGTCGATGACGGAATCCAGTGGCTCTTCGTACGCCAAACTCTGCTTATCTCCCTTTCCAGAATAGCCAAACAACTTTTTAAGGAGTGGGAGAAAAGTATTTGCCATTGATCCGCCACCGATCAACGATCAAATCTCCGAGCAAAACCAGATGACGGAAGGGTTCTGGAGACCGAGTGACCAGAGCGAACCCAGAAAAGCTAGCTTTGTGAAGACTGTACATTTCCATCGGCAGGAAAAAATGTGGTCCCGTCTACGAAGACGACGGAGGAGGAGAATACGGCAGGATTTGCCGGAAATAGAACTCGTGATTTGGCAGATTGCTGGCCTGGTTATGCACAACAGCACTCGGTTTTTGGCGTGAAGCGATGCCCCAGGAGCATTGGCCGGGAAATAAAAATGTACGGAGTACCAGTCAGTTCATATTCATTTTGAGTAATTCAAAAACAAAACACTACTCCCTCCGTCTCCATTTTGATTACAATTTTTTTTTTCTTCTCTCGACAACTTTTGTTTATTTACGTGATTTTATTAAGTATTTGATAAAATAAAATATTCTTGTCACCTTTGTTTTGTAGAACTTTTGACATAATTTTTTAATATGTAATTTTTATTTCTTATCGATATGTCGATTTTTAAATAAAATAATTTCAAAAAATGTAATATTTCTCCTCGTAAACCCCAATTTGTAATCAAATTAGAGACTGATGGAGTATTTTTTAATTATTTGAGACAATTATTTTACACATTTGATAAATTTGTTTAATTTGTGAATATTTTGTTTGTGACTCTATCATTAGTGTACATCAGTTGGAGTAAATTTGGCAAACACCTTTTTTAAAAGGAGAAGTCATAAAATAAATGTATGAGTAATTTTAAGACATTGAAATACATAATTGATCTTCATCTATATACATATGTCCCCTTATCCTATTCTAAGACAAGTTTGTGTTAAGTGAATGATGAATATAAGTTATGTGTCATGATTTAAATAATCAAAGAGAGAATTGAGACAAGAGTTAGAATGGAGGACCACATCCCTTCAAAAAGTAATTTTTTTGGTAATGAAATAAATTTTAATATTGGTATTTTGAACGTCAAAATCTTTATAAATATACATGAATTTTTATAATCATTTCGCTAATAACCCTTTTGCCATTACTAGGTGATTAACATGTCACTTTCACCCAAATTACAAAATCGAAATTTTATCTTTCACATTGACGCCCATAACTTCTTTTTCTTCTCCTTTGACTATCAAAATTTATATTCTTTTCTTTTTCCCTTTTCTCCCCCTTCTTTCCTTTCTTCTTCCCCTCTTTTCTTCTTTTTTTTCTTTTTTCTTTTTTCTTATTTGCTATTTTAATCCTCTTTTCTTTTGCTTGTTTTTTTTCTTTTGATCATCTTTTAACACTTTATTTTTTTATTCATTTTTACTTTTTATCATTTCTTTCTCTTTTCTTTTAATTTTCTTCATTTTGCTTTCTTAAAACCGTTGTTTTAATATTCTCTTTTTGTTTCAATAAGCTATTTTTTTTTATTTTGATCGTTTTTAAATCTTTATTTATTTTTTATTCTTTTCCAGCCTTTTCTCATTTCTTACTTTTTTAAATTTATTTTATTTTCTTTTTGTTTTTCTTTCGTTATTTTTGTTTCTCTCTCTTTCTTTCGGTTGTTTTTTCTCTCTCTCTCTCTCTCTTTCTTTTGGTTTTCTATTTTTTCTTTTGAACCTATTTCAAATCTTTTTATTTTTTCCCTAAAAAAATCTCTTTTTATTTTTTGATACCTTTTACAACCTGTAGTTTTTTATTTAAATTTTCTCATTTTTTTTTGAAAAGAAATTTCTTCATTTTTGAATTGCTAGAACTTAATATTTTTTCTTTTCAGTTTTTTCTCTTTTTCTGTACATTGTTTTAAATCATCTCAATTTCTTTTATTTCTACTTTTTTTGTCCTATTTTGCTCTCCCACTATATAATACCCTGTGGAATTATTTCTTCTTTTTATCTTTTTTGTATTGTTTTTTATTCTTTATTTTTTAAGAAAAAATATCTCAAATAATTTCATTTTTTCACGTTTTTTCAATTCCAAAAATAATCTCACTTTTCACAGTCTCTGTAAAAGATCATACCTTTTCAAATGTGTACAAGTTTTAGATCGTTGTTAAAAGCTAACGGCCAGTTAACGCTCTTTCAAAAAAATTGTATTGTTTGTTTTTCTTTATTGTTTGGGAGAAAATGTCTCAAATACTTCAATCTTTTCACTATCTTTAAAAAATAATTTCACTTTTCAGTATCATCGAAAAAATCTCATCTTTTTGCATGGACCCCCGTTAAAAAGCTAACGGCCACATAACGGAATTTTTAAAAAATGCTCGTTTTTCACAAATAAATGAAAGGTGAGATTATTTTAGGTAAATTCCTTAATTTCTAACTTGAAATTTAAATATATTTTTTTAAAGATCTTTTTATAAATGATAACAATTTTAAGTGTTTTTTAGAGTGAAACTAAATATTTTTTTAAATAATCAATAGTCTCGTAATAATTGGACAATAAATTGTTTTACACAATAGAACTAATGTATTTACTTCATAAATTTACTTCACTACATTTCAATCAATTTAATTTTATAAAATTTCAATTCTTTTTTTAAACAACAAATTTCAATTCTAAATCTGTGCATCAAAGAGAATTTTACATTTTTGGTGCAATTAAAATCTCTAGCTCACACGCAATTGGTTTGATGCCATGGACAAAGAGAATATAATCTTGCAGTAAGGTATGAACGCATCTTCCTTTTTTGCTGCGTGGTCGGGGATGATGATACGATATCCACGAACAAAGACTGCTTCACGTCGGTCCTATAAAAATCTTTTATTTTCACTATATTAAAAAAATATTGTCGAAAAAACTTCTCCATATATAATTAAATTAAAATCTTATAAACAGTAGATGTTTGGAAGCTAGCATTTTATTTCAATCTCAAAATTTGAATTCTTTAATTTTGAATGACAAGAGGGAGACACTAGGGCTAATCTGGAAGATTTGATGGTCCTGAACGAGACGAAAATTATCTTTTGTCCTATTCAGGCCAATTTTTTATTGAAATAAGTAGGGCCACATGAAATGTTGAAATATTGGAATAATAATATTGTTCATTAAATTATGGAGTACATGGTAGAATATATATATATATATATATATATATATATATATATATATATATATATATATATATATATATATATATATATATATAAAAGAGGGACTACTAATACAACTAGAAATAGAGAATGAAAATTAACTAAAATATAACATCTACTATAAAAAGGAATAAAGAGCTGACTTATAATCAAATACTACCATAACTAAAATTATTATTATTATTATTGTCTAACAGGAAAAACATAATTTGACTAAAACTCTATACCAAAATTTTTAAGATTTCTCAAACATAAAATTTGAGCCAAATCTAGATTTCAAATCCAAATTTCAATTTTCAAACATGCCGTGAAATTTCCAAAGCCAACTATTATTTTTGCAGTGATTTCTTTTTTGAAACAAAGTTGAATAATTAATCTTACCATATCCCCCCTCCGTCCCAAAATATTTTTCACACTTGTTTTTTCAGCGTCGCGGGAATTTTTGTTTATTTCTACGTTTTCATTGGTTATTCGATAAAATAAAATATTCTTGACACTTCTTATTCCGAATACTTTTCATGTAGTTTTTTGATATGTAAATTTTATTTTTTATTTTTATACCAATATGTAAATAAAATAGATTGAAAAAACTTGATATTTTACCTCGATAATAAAAAGTGTGACAAATATTTAGGGACGAAGGATTATAAGAAATACAACCCTCCCTATGGGCTATGGCTAATCAATTTTCACTTTGGGGAAATATGTGTTGCTGATGCATGCACGCACGCACGCACCCGATTGATGAGGTAGCGTAACATGGCCTTATTATTATATGCATGCATGCATGCCACCGCCCGCCGGCCATAAAGTCAATTGTGATAATAAAATGTTACATCCACTCTCACCCATTTATATTCACAGACCAAATCAGGTTCGATTTTATTTTAGTCAGATCAAATCTAATCAGACCAGGTATAAAAAAACATGACATGTGTTTCAATTCTTTGTCATAAATTAACACATAACCCACTCCACCCATGTAATTATGCTCCTCTATGCTACCTGGCCTTAAGGTGAGTTTGGTTAGAGAGCAAAAGAAAAGAAAAATAGAAGGAAAAGAAAATGAGAAGACAAATGTACTAAGATGAGAGAAGACCAAATTCCTCTCATATTGGTGAGTAAATTAAAAAAATTCATTTTCTTTTCTTTTTCTTTTCAATTTCCTTAAACCAGACATACTACAAAAGTTTTACAAAATAAGATGTGATAAATATATTTAGTTTATCAAACGTTCAATAAAAATGCGCACAAACATACGTTATCGAAAGAAAAGAATGATGATCGTCATGTTCGTTTGAATTCGGTGAAGGCCGGTTAGAAAAGAATGACGTTCTTTTACTAGATTGATTACTTAATCTGGTGGATTTGAAAAGAGTTGCGTCTCCGTCGAGGAAGTAGAAAATTATTTGTTGAAGTGTTAAGATGACACAGGAACAAACATATTTTGATTATATGTTGTTTAAGTTAAGCTGGACACTCTAATCCAGCTTGAGGGGGTGCTACGAGAAAGAGACATAGAAAAAAGAAAGCGATCCCCTCGATTTGGTGATTCTCCTAGCCCACCCCCTAGCAATATAATGCACGCATTTTTTTAATGGAGAAAAGGAATGTGGATCGGATAGCGCCGAACATAGTCCGGCCTCCACATCATCACCCGATGCTCCGATTCGGTCAGGCCGTTGAAAATCATATGGAATTAGATCTCTTTCTTCCCAATCTTTTTCTTCGCCATTTCGGCGGCCCAGAATCTTTTTTCCGATTGGGATGCCGGAATTATATGACGCTATTAAAAAGTGTCCCATTATATTCTCATCGTTTCTGGTACGTTCCAAAATGAAATTAATTTTATTTTAGTATTATCTCAAAAATAAAATTTGTACTTCTTCCGCTTTCTTTTGAAATAAAATGAATATGGCTGTCGTCACATCGTATTGCGTTCTTATAAACAAATTTTAAACATACATTTTTGTTGTTTTTTATTTTTGTTTTAGAAAAATTGTAAACTCAAATCATAAAATACGTATTAGCCAACAATTTCAGGGTTTAGCAGTAGTATTTTAAGAAGATTATTTAAATCTAACAGCATCATTTCCAAAATAAATCTACAACGTTAGAATATTATCTAAAGTACTAACGCTCATTGAAACATTGTGGCCAGAGATGGCCAAAATTATCCACACATGTAGAATCTAATATTGAATTGAATCAAATTCCAAAAAGCAGCCCATCATGGAATTCAATGCATGCATATTCCTTGTAGCTAAGCTATATATAAATGGCCAATTATCAATAATAAACCACTCCAAGCCAACTTTCATATTACCATTAACAATTCTCAAAATCCATCTCTATATACTAGTAGAAGATCAAGATTAGAGAGAGTGAGTGATAATAATGGAGACAGTCAAGAGCTTAGCGGAGCGAAAGCCGGTGGTGATATTCAGCATAGGGTCACGCTGCAGCATGAGCCACACCATCGAGACGCTCGTGGCCGGTTTTGGCGGGACCGTGACCGTGCACGAGCTGGACGTGATGCCCAACGGCAAGAACCTGGAGTGGGAGCTGATGCAGGGCATCTGGGCGGCTGCATCCTGGGCAAGCAGGAGGAAGCCGCCCAGTTTGCCCGCGGTGTTCATCGGCGGCGAATATGTCGGGGGTGAAGGTGAGATCATGTGCCTCCACCTCAAGGGAGAACTTGTCCCCTTGCTCAAGAAGGCTAGAGCCATTTGGCTCTAAGTATATAATATGTTGTCAAGTACTAATTGTACGTGATTAATAATATGTACATGCATGCATATATATGTGTGTACTGTATATAATTTCCTGATTTTTAGACCTAAATATAAAATTAAGTGGTTTCGTCTCCCCTTGATTGGGTGGAGGTAGTTAAGCTCTATGTAAATCCAAGCCAATGTACCTTAAAATTAATATCACAATTATATATGGCTTTGTTTGAGAATAATATTTTCAATTTCCAATAGCATTTTAAATTAAATTTTAATAGTTTAGATTAACTTTGAAAATATTATATAAAACTAAATGCGTCATGAATATCATGCCTTCGAATTTATGAAGAATAACACGTGCATACATTATCTTCTTCATTTCGGTTGAGAATAATAATTAGACGATCGATCTAGCTATAATGTGCAACAAAAATAATTTTATTAATTAGATTTATTTTATAAAATATTTTTTTAAAATATGTATTTATCAAATTAATATACCATATATTTTTAATTTAATTATAATTTAAAATTTTAAAAATAATAGAATGTAAAAAGTTAAAGTTAAAAAAATTTTCAGAATGTATGTATACAACAAGAATTAAGAGAGAAAAACTGATTCAAAGTGTAAAACATATTAAAAGAATTAATGGGTATATTGGATCCATTTTAGAAAACTATTCCATATTTTGATGGGTATATCGGACCAATATACACGTTCGGCCCAATAAAGATGGCGAGCTAACTGAATCTGACCCACAAGCCAAACTGTTAAGTTGAACATGTATTTGACCGTGAGGCCCGCGAAATTGGGATCAAAGGAACGACTACTACTATTTATGATTTCTTTGGTTCAAAAAATTCAGGTGAATAATTTTTTCTGTTGCTAATGATCATATTTGTAAAGCTATTTATATAAGGGTAATTTAGTCTTATTCAATACAAATTTTGCTTTATATAATTATTCATTATCTAACATTTATTTCTATTGAAAACATATATAAGAGATCATATGAAAATATATGTTATAAATGGAATAAATATGTTTAGTTCTATTCACGTAAACTTGCATTTTTTCATTAATGAAAACAAACAAAAGAGGAATATCATATGATTATCATCAAAATTCATGAGACTAATCTCATCCCTAATACAAAAAAGGAGAAGCTAAGCTATATGTACACAAACAACTTTGGCTTCAAATTCTGCGTTGTTGCGGCCACAAATGTAAACAAACAAAAGCATATATCCATTTGACCATATATCAAACAAGCTAGCTAAGACACCGAGTGCCGCCTCCGCTTCTGAAACCGGCACCGGCCTTCGGAAGAACCACCGCCCTTTCCCCTGAAAAGGCTGTTGATTTTGCAGAGCTTCCTGGTGAACGATTTGAGGAAGTTGTTAGCCGCCGCCCGGTGCGGCCTCACGAGCTCCTCCTTCATGGAAACGTGGTCCTTCTCCAAGTCCGTCAGTCTCATCCTCATCCTCGCCACCTCCAGCTTCAGCTCCCTGTTCTCCCGCCTCACCGACGCGTAGTTGTCCCTCGGGGACATGCACGCGCTCCCCGCCGCGCTACCCGACCGCATCGGGCCGAGGAACGCCTGGTGCTGGTAGCTGTGGTGGTGGTGGTGGTGGGTGTAACCGCCGCCACCAGCCATGGCGTTCCTCAGCCTGATCTGCTCGAAGTAGAGGACCTGGACGGCCATCTGCACGGGCAGGCGGTCGTTCTGGGCGGCGTGGCTGCACGCTTCCTGCGTCATCTTCTGACAGTCGATTGTCTTGCAGAGTCTGTGCTTCTCTGAATCAGACATGTTAGGATGAACCTTGAGGAAAATGTCGACGGCTCGGTACAGTCCGTCGGAAGCGGGACGGGCGTGGTCGGGAAGAAGCTCTGCGAGGGCTATGAACTTCGAGTGGGACATGTTTGGATCGAGCGCAACTTCTGCTAGATAAACGTCCATTAGTTTGGACGCCTTAATGATCGTGCTCTGTTTGGGTGACCCCGGGCTGTCCATGTCGTAACCCATTTCCCCTACGTCTCCCACGAGATCATCCTCGTAGTTCTCGTCCTCGTCCTGGTTTAAATTCAAGAAAAACGAGAAAATCCTAGCCACGCAGTCCGTGTCAAAAAGAGGCCCATCGTTGTTGCTGTTGGGAGAAGGGGAAGAAGGTACGAGGATGTCTTCGAGGATGGCTTCGTCGAGTTGCAGGCCGATGCGTCTCTCCAGATCAGACCGGCAAGAAGCCGAGGCGGAAACGGCCATGGCGGTTTTGAACAGAGACGAGAGGAACGCCACCGGGACCGTCGCCGTCCCTTTCCTTGATGACGTCTTTGGTAAGAGGTTTGTTATGGCCTCAACAATCATCCTCTGTTTCTTCTCCGCCTCCGTATCGGCGGTATGACCGGGTCGGGGGTCGTTGACTCGGGGGAGAGAGTTGCGGGCATAGTTTATCAGTAGTTTTGTTATGATCTCTTGCTTGAGACCCTTCCCTCTCAGGGCAAAGACAACCCTCTCGAAGAAATCAACGGCCAACACCGCCAGAGCATTCCCCCAGGAATCCGACAGGGTTTCCTCGTCGACGGCGTTTGGATTCGGCGGCGGGAATGGTAACGTCAGCAGCTCCTTGCAGACGTTGTTCGCGACGGAGGTGACGAGGCGGCCGACGAGGCCGGTTCCGGCGTCGGGGAACGGGAGGAGAGGTTCGCAGCGGTTGAGGACGGAGATGGAGTTGGGGATGTCGGGGAAGACGGCGTCGTTGAGGAAGGTTTCGGTTCTGGATTCGAGGTTCCCCTCGCTGACGTCCTCTGTCATTTCCAGAAAGACGGCTACGGAGTTTAGAACGGCGACGTTTGACAGGGAAACGTCAACGGGCACTCCGTAGCAGAACTTCGCCGCCAGCTCGAAGGCCTCGCACCCGCCCGGGATGTCGGATAGGTTCATCCTCGAAATCTTCGGTTCCTTGCCCGCATCTGCTAGCATTTTCCTCATCCTTCCACTCCGTGAAACCAGTGGAAACTGCACAAAGAAATTCGAGTAATTAAACACCAAATCTCTTTATTTCTCATCAATTAATTTTTGAATTTAGAACTATAAGTTTGAGATTTTGATTGAATTGATTTATTTACATGTGCATATACCTTATGAAGCGCAAAAGATGCACCTCCCACTTCTACTGTTAGATCACTGGTAACATTAGACATTGGCCTGCTAAAACCAAAACAAATTGAACTATCACATCTACACGAGTTTGTACCGTCACTTTAATGGTTCACAATGACACAAAATGTTAATACGATCGAAAAGTTTTGCTCCAACACTATAGTAAAAGACTATCTGATGAAGATAAATTGATTGGTGATGCTAAATCCACATCCTCATTTGGCTAAATCGACTCGGTTTATAAGAGATATACATACGTACCATTCGGTGGCGGCGGGGTGGCGGCCGACACTGGAGCTGTGGCGGAAGGAGCGCTTGCCGTAAATGTTGGGCTTCATCGGCTCTGCAAGGGTGACGACACCCATTATTATTATTATTATTATTATTATTATTATTATTATTATTGATCTGCTCAGAAGACTCTGAGAGAAGAGAGATGAGAGTGGGGGGAGGGAAGAGAAAAAGAAAGAGAAGAGAAGAGACAAGACGGAATGCAATGGGGGGAAACATTTGATGATTGTGTTTGAAACGGGCGGTCTCCCTACGCACTCAAAGTCAAGATTTGGAATCTCCATTTGTTTGCTGCTCTCTTTTCGGTAAAAGGTTTCCCAACTTTGACTTTTTTTGTTTTTTTTGATGAGTTTGGAGACTATAGGGATGAATATGACTTGGTCTCTCTCAACACCTCATGCTTTTTATACCACACACACAAACAATAATTATATTTGTATCACACGGTAGATCATTATCCATGGGTCACACAAACAATTATCGTATGTCTGTGTCTGTATTTGAGCAAAGCATGAGTCACTCGTGTGGAATTATTCTGACTTTACTCTACTTTCATATTTCAATATTTACCAAAAGAGCTAAGGTTCGTTGCAATATAAACAACAATATACATAGTATACTTTTTGAAAATAAATTCTACCACAAATTTTATCTCGTGATTGTAAGTACAAAAAATTATTTTATACTTTAACATTTTCTATTATGGACGAGTTTGGATTTTTGTTTAGTTCTTAAACACAGATATCAATTCTTTTTAGTTAGCTACTTGTGAGACTCGATGTTTAAACTTCTACGTTTTTGAGATCATGTTAATAAATCATTATAATTACCAACTCAAAAGCATATGAGGTTAAACTTTTTGATTGAGTTGATTTTGTATGTACATTTAAACACTACAATTTGTTTGACACTAATAATAAGGAATCTACTTAAAATTAACTTAACATTTTTTCCTTTTTTGATGGACATTTTAATTTCTTCTTTCATACAACGTAGAGTACTAGAGTAGAGTATTAAAATTCCTCTTTTTTTATTTATATAGAAGGTGACAATGGTGACATTGTCCTTTTAATTTTGTATATTGACCTAAAGTATAAAGTGACAAACTTTGTGGAGAAATTTAAATTAGAAAAGTGGAAATGTGGGGCAATTCATATTCTATTATTTGTTTTATTTTGTGTATCATTATGAAGATTTAGATGGATCATAGTCATTCGAAAGCTAATTCTAGCAAAAAAGTCTAGCAAGTAAAAGACAAGTCTTCTTTTGAAAGTTGGGGTGAAAAAAGAACACCAATATTATGACTTAAATTGGTTTTAAACTTATTTATTTTTTAGAAATATATTATTTGAATTCGTAAAATTTATAACTTATGAAAATATTTTCATTACATATATATTATTGCTCCGTATTATTTAATAATTATATTTTCTACTTTTATACTCCATTCGTTTTAAATTAAATTATCTATTTACTATTCATAAAGTTAAATTTTATTCACTTTCTTTTCTATTTTCATTAGTTATTTGATTAAATAATATAGTTACGTCACCACTATTTTTGTAGATCTTTTGAAATAGTTTTTTAAAATGTAATTTTTAATTCTACACTATTTTTCATATAAAATAATTTGAATCAGTCAAACATCGTAAACCAAAACATGTAATTTAAATTGGGACAGAAGAAGTACATAAAGAAGATTAACATTTTGTATCAGCGTTAAGATTAACATTTTAAAAAGACAATCTGACAGTAGCTTTTAACATTAACATTATCATTAAAATTTTATTTAAATCATTAATACTAATAAAAAATATTGTTTTCAAACAAGACCTTTTGAATTACGGTAGGGGTGGGAATTAAAAGTTTTTTCTTCTATGGAGTATTTGCAAAAAGCTAATTAAAGAAGAAACAAATTATTCGTTGGGTGTTAATTACTTTGAAACCCATTTCTCACGGGTGCATTAATTTAATTGAATACAAAATTTCGTTGACAACATAATTAAATGAATACTTCTGCAAGAAACATCAGACCGTGTAACGGATCTCATCATAAATTCATATTTGACTATTTGAGTCAACAAAATCTAAATCTTTTTACTAAATTTATTTCCTCTTTCTTTTTTATCCGTTCTACAAAATCTTGCAATTAAAATCAAATTATTTACCTGATTAAAAAAACTACGTCAAAAGTTACAAAACAAGAATTGCTAAGTATTTTATATTATCAAATACTCAATGAAAGCACACAAAATAAACAGAAATTAATGAGAGAAGAAAGAGAAAAATTGTAATCTAATTTGAGATGGAATATTAGTTTTTCTTATTGGAATCAGATGATATTAGATCAAATCAAATAAAAAACAACTTTAAATATATCCAAATTCAAATCAGATTAGAATCATTCAGATCTATTCAGACCTGGTGAATAGAGCATGCCTCCCTATAGAGTATAGAGACAAGGAGGCTGTTTCTATTTATTGCATTTATTTATTTATTTATTTTTATCAATGGGCTTCTCAATTTTCATTTGTCATTTTTATGCAGTCCATTACCATGCCCCAAACTAAAAGATTGTCAATAATAATGACTACGGAGTACTTTTTAATATTATTCCTAGCAAAAAAAATACATCAAGTTCCCAGAAGGGAGAATCTAGCATACTTTGCATACTTCGTGGAACTTCATGCACATGACACACAATAGACCTCAAGAGTCGACCCAAAAGAAAGAAAGAAAGAAAAAACAGCAGTCTTCCTCTAGCTCTACAAACCCGAAACATAAAACAGGCACATTTCGGGTGTGGATCGGGCTAGCGTCGAATAAGTTTAAGCGTTGAACTTACCTTAAATTGAATTGCGAAAAAAACGAATCGAAGCACAGCTTTGGCAAAGAAATAGGAACCAAAGCGCAGCGGGTATTACCAGTTAACCGAAGGTGTGACAGGAAGACTGGACAAACTATACTCTAATCTGCATCGGATGATCAAATTTACAGCTTGGACCAAACTTGCAGACTCCCTTTTGCAGATAGAAGGAACAAGGTTGCGCGCCCTGCCATTGTCACATCAAGCAATATAAACCATTACTATACGAATGAGCTCCATAAACATTCAATAGTATAATAGGGCAACAACCCAAATTTTTCGGTATGACTAGATTATTGTGAACAAAATACAACAAACGAACCCAGTAAAATCCCATAAAAAAAGACTTGTCCTGTGGTAAAAACACATTTTATGTGTACGCACAAACAAAGTACACATAAAATACACATGCACGAGCTTAAGAGTATGGTAAAAACACACCAACAAATGCTACAAACTAAGGCCAAGAGGTCTACCCATAAATTTACGAGAACAAAATGTGTTGGACAAATGGAATGCAAATCATACAAGTATCCGAGCCCGCATTTAGACTAAAATGTGGCCAAATAGTTTCACTTTTGTAATATACTATCTTCAATCTATTTATGTTTATCACAACGCATATTAAGAATGCATTTGAAACAATACTGCACTGAAAAGAATCAAAGAATTTAAACGTCTCCATTTACACCAGTCACATACAAAAAGAAATTCCCATCAGCCTTTTATCATTTGTTCTTAGATAGTTAAGTTAATAAAACACAAAACCTTCATAATCATGTCATCTCAAAGCCTTTTGAGTTTGGCAGTGTATAAGTAAGTATATTCAAAACCTTCATAATCATATCATAACAAACTTCAGAGTGTGAACCCGCTAAAAGACAGGTGATCCTCAAAGCCTTTTGAGTTTGGCGGTCTATAAGTAAGTATATTCACCTATGCATATGTCTTGGTAAATGGTCGATAGTTTTAGTCAAACTACAGTAGGTTGATTTTCATTCAAATATTCAAACAGTGTGGAAGAGAAACGACAAGAATAGACATACCGGACGCAAAGGAAGCCCCAAAGGACTGAAAACACAATTTGTGTTTGATCCAATCCAGCCCGGAGGATGGTGATACCTACACATTGGCCCAAATTTACAACTCCCAGTTTTCATATAGTGCTGACACTCAGGTTGGCCCGGCCTTTCAGGAAAACGCTTTTCGTTCTGAGCACTTCTTGACAGACCAGTGGATGCCGCCTGCAAAGGAGAATAAGGTGCTGGAAAGGCAGTTGGAGAAGAAACCATCTGTGATATCCCGTAAACAGATGCTAGCCCGTTAGAAGGTTGAGCTCCAGTAGAAAGAGAAGGGCTAACTGGTCCCTGCATCAAGTAAATTTAACAACACTTAGGCTTTCCTGGGTTAAGGACATAAAAAGAAAGAGGCGAGAAAAAGAGTGGATTTTAATGTAATGTTTTGAATGAGAGAAAAATGAAGGAAACAAATGTGTTACTTGGAAAAAAAAGCCCAAAACACCCACAACATACAATATATTGTGATGTCAAATGAGTTGATATACAAGCAGACATAAGGGAACAAAGTTCTCTCTCCCACACATCTTCTCACTAAAGAAGAAATTGCAAAAAAAAAGTAGGTGAGACCCATTGTTGAAACTCCAAAATGGTTTCTTGCCTTTTTCTCCCTTTTTCTTATGTTTTTCATTTCCTTTCTATTTCTCTTCGAATAAACAAAGAGTAAGAGAAGATGTTTCCACCATTACCGACACTGATAAACAAACAAAACAAACAAACAGGAGGGATCTTATAAATTACCGAATAACTCCAATTTGGAACTGGGACCATGCCATGAAGCAGCACAGGAGCATAACCATTGTGCAAATAGGAAGCGGGTAATAATGGAGGCCTTGTGGCCCTAAAGTTAGCAGTTGTGCCACCGTACTGTTCTGTGGGAAGCCCGGGAAAAGACTGCACGGTCGGATAAAATGGGCGTGCAGTTGTTGGCGGTCCTGGTGATAAACCAGGTTGAGGGTGATGGTATTTACATGTTAAACCGTATTTGCAGTGCCCCATTCTCAAATAGTAGGAGCATTCTTTTTCCTCCTGCCATGATAATTCCACAAAAGGGTCAAAGAGATCAAACTCTCCCACCAAAACCAACTAACATCAGAGAGGACACAAACTTGTTAGAAACTAAAGAATTTGCTTACCGGTCGTAATGGGTATCCACTAGCATTAAGTGGGACAGGAATCAAGGATCCAGCAGCATTTCTTGGGTGATGGAACTTGCAGGAGGCCCCAAATTTACAGGTTCCGGTTCTTAAATAGAACTACATGTAACAAAACTTGCAGTCAATAAAAAAGAGCCTCACACAAAATCACCTGAGTGAAGCTATAGCTCTATAAGCATGAAGCCAAACACATCACCTGGCAAGTAAGCTCTCCTGGTCGCTCGGGGTATACCCCTACTCCAAATTGCGCTGCCCCAACCTTCGAATTGGAACAACTCAGAGATCAATATAAGCAAGAATTCACTCAGATTTATGAAAAAAAAACAATCACAGCTTCCTATCGCGACAAAACCTAAGATGTACACCAAACATCCTAGATGTATCGAGGAAAATTGTCACAAATCAGGGCTTCTAAACAATGAACACTAGCATTCAAATGTAAACGACAACAACTGTATGCCAACATGGGTGGGGGGTTGAGGATCAAAGGGCATACCGAGCCACGATCATGAGGATGATTGAAGCGACACTTGGCACCATACCCGCAGAGTCCGGTCCGCATGTAGTAGGCGCAGAGTGTGGCGCCGGGCCTTTCCGGGTACCGCTCGCCGCCGCCCCATAACCCCAGCCTCTGCATTGATTCTGCAATGTCACAAAACCCATTAGGAAAAAAAGAAAAGAAACTTCGGCCGGAAAATAAAACTGCAATGTGTTTGAGCCCCCACCTTCGAGATCCGGGTCGGACCCGGAGGGAGCCCATTTAGAGCCCGTATCCGGATGCGACCCGTTTCTGATATGGGCTCGTCCGTACATCTCCATGGACTACTTCTAGCCGTTCTAGGTTTTCTTTGCGGTTGCTGTTGGTGGAGCAGCTTCTTCGGGGGAACCAAACCGCGGCGGAATCGAAAGGAGACAAAAAAATAAAAGGGATCGAATTGGGGGGAGTTAAAGTTAGGCGTCGTCAAACATACACTGCTGTTCGTTCATCATACCCCTCCCTACGCGCAATGTGTATGTATCTATATATGTACGTATAGATCAGTCTATACATACACGTACTCCGTATGTGTGTGTATATACGGCGTGCGACAGTACAATTGAGAGTTTCTTTCTTCTCTCTCGCGCCTCGCTACTAGAGCCCAACAAGACTTGTCCGTACAGTCCGTTTTGTATGCGAGCTGTTCCTTCGGCATTGTCCAGTCACCGACTTACCATATTGTCTCACTTTTTGTTCTATGGAAATCATGTCTCATAAATCATAAGGAGTGACAAATCCAGTTTAAGATAAATTCTTAATCTAATGTAACACATGAAGTTATTGTCTTTTATTACTTTGAAAAGAATGATATGTTTGTTTTGAAAAAGACCAAAAAACAAAAATGAGAATTTTTTTGTTGACATATGGAGTACAAAGTAATTACATTTGACTCATGGACTTTATTTTAATCTCTAATTAGCTATGATTGTTGTCTTAGTTTTATTAGTGACCGATTCAAGGTACAAAGTAAATTAAGGTACATTTTAGTGGATGAAATTAAGAACACTACTTGGTTTAGGAGAAGCAGAGTGAATTTTTTAAGCTAATGTGAAATGATACGAAATATAAAAAAATTCATTTCAAACGTGAATTAAAACCATTGAAAAGAGAAAGTCATAAAATAGAAAAATATACAGTATAATTTACGGAGTACAACATTACTTGGTTTAATTATAAATATTTTGCTTTTAGATTATATTAAAATTATTTATTTGATCTAATGATACAAACTCGTATCGGATAGGGAAGACTCAAAGCGTCTTTGTGCTCTTGAAAATATGGGATGAGGAAAAAGAAGAAGAATTGAGACGATAAAGGAATTGACGAATCAGGAAAGGAGAAAAGATTAGAGTTTATGATCTGTTTGTTGATTGATTATTCTAAATGATATGTGAACATTATTGGCGGGTATAATATAATCCATATCCTGACCAAACGGGAGCTAACTCGTTAGAAGTAGATCGGTTGGTCGCTGATCAGTCAATATGGAAAAGCTTAGAATGTTGCAATGAGCATAAAAGAAAAACGACCGATAAATTATTCAAGCAGAAAGTGATTAGTCATATTTGGTAAATCAACTTTGGGAAGAATCTTCACGAAAAGAGTGCCCACAGAAACCGCCCGAGACTTTGAAGGACAGGCTAGCTAAACCACCTTAATTAGCAAGGGGCAAGGTGGTCATAGGTACATGACCCAATTTTATGGGGGGCCAGTTATATGCTCCGTATTTATTAAAAAATTATAGGGCGCCCAAGGCGGGTCAACAATATTAAAAACAGAAATACTAGAGTCACGAACACAAATTTTACAAAATACGTATTATATATTCTCCCCGTCCTAAAACTAATTTCCCGGTTTGATTTCTGGGAACAAACTTTTTAAACTTTGTATATTAAAGAAAAATACATTGAACTTTATATAAATTGGTTATCAATTAGATTCATCTTGAAACATAATTTCAAAATATATTATTTTATAATATATATTTATATAGAAATAGACATATTAATAATTAAAATATTACATTAGAGACCGTGAAAAATCAAATGAGAAGATAATTTTAGGATGGACGGAGTACCACTTTGTAATTTTTGCATCTCACTTTGAGAGAAATTTAATTTTTAAAAATAAAAATGTAAAACTTTAAAAATTCAAATAGTAAATTTGTACAGTACATTTCACGATCATCATGACTAATATTTTTCAGTATAAAAATATCATACGAACGGTCTAAAAAAAAGATAAGAAAAAAGGCTCCGTAAATTGGATTGGAGCCCAAGAATCAATGTGGTCCGAGGACCGAGATCATAGAGTCTAAATCAACAGCCAGGCCGGGTGAAAAGCCCAATCAATCCAATCCTGCAACCGCATCTCACGTCATCTAGTTACACGTGTCCTGATCCGTCTCATCAATCGACTGGCAATCCGGCGCCCGGCGTTGCCCCAGAAATCTCTCATTTCCCGATCCACCGCCCCTGCTCCGGCGAAGAAACTCAGCCGACTGATTCTCTAATTTTACTCCAGTTTCTCTTATTCACCTGACTCGCGGATTTGCCGTCCAGCCTCGCCGGAAATTTAAGCATGAATGGCCTCCCAACTAGCCTCTCTTCCAGAATCTCCGCCGCATGTTTGATGCAGTTCCCAGCACGCCGCCGCTTCAGCTGTGGTTGTCCATCTTCCGTCGGACTCTCGCACAACCAAGTTCAGTCTAGAAGAACAGTCTGCATGGCGGTCTGTCCGAATGCACCGATTTTTTTAATTTATTAAGCTTAATAGGCAGAAATTGAGCAATTGCGTGTTTGCTTTATGTTTGTAGCATGTTTTCCTGTTTGGCGTGCTTTTTAATGGTTTGTCTGCTGTAATAAATGGTTTTAATGTTGTTTGTGATAAAGGAACCTTATTTGATTTTGAAACTGGAATCTGCTGAGAAGACATGGAAAGAACTATCGGTAAGCTTCTTTTCAAATTGATTCATTGGGGAGACATGGGAAAGATATAGGTTTAGTAGTACTAACTTGCAAGTTACAATCAAACTTTACAATTGCATTTCACTTTATTTGAAACTGTTGAAAACTTGTAGTTGGATTATGTTCATAGCTTAATACTGCACACCTGTCATAGGTTAAGTTGGCTGATCCTGAGGTTGTCTCAAATCCAAATGAATATCAGAAGTTGGCTCAGTCAGTATCAGAGCTTGACGAGGTGCTGCACTTTATTTCTGATCAATTTCTTAATATCTATGAATGATTTTTGATCAACATACTCCGTTGACGCCACTTTGCTCTTAGGTTGTCTCGACATACACAAGTTTCAAGGATTGTGAAAAACAAATAGAAGAAACAAAAGGTTGAGTTACTTTTCATACCATATATTGTGGAGTTGAACACATTCCTTCCTACACTCAATCTCTTATGCTGATTGCTTCATTACAACAACCCCTAGTTATATCCCACAAGTAGGGTCTAGGATGGGTGTACGTAGACGTTACTCCTTCCAATAGAAGGTAGAGAGAATCATTGCTTCGTAGCCGACAGTATTTATGAGCACATGATAAAATTTTAAGTTCAATGTCAGCTATGGCAAAGGAAGAAGATGGCAATGAAGACATGGCTAATATGATATCATCAGAACTTGAGGCTTTAACTAAACAATTAAATGAGCTTGAGGAGAAGCTTAAGGTAAACAAAACCTGTAGCATAGGAACGATTCATTTATCATTCTGTGTTTTCCTGGCATAGCTCTCATGACTTCAGTTTGTGGACTATTATTTAAGTTTTGGAACTTCTTCTTTTTGATCTTGGTAGGTACTTCTCATTCCTACAGATCCTCTTGATTCAAGAAATATAATGCTTGAAGGTAATTTAATCTCTATTTATTTTGGATGTAGTATGCAATCTGATTGCTTGCATGAGATGAAGAATTTTTTTAGGCATGCACTTTATAGTCATCAAATGCAGAAAATGATACTACTAGATATAGCTCAATGAACAAAATAGGCATAGACTGTCGCTGAAACTGGTCCGTAGAAGAAATCAGTTAGTTTTTGGATTATATGAATTTTTGTTATTGTGAAAGCCAGTCAGACAGGGTTTTATGAATTACTATATAGTCGTTCGTGCATTAGTAGGACCATATAGTATGCCAGTTTTTGTTACATTTTTTCTCTCCTGCTGTTGAAATAGCATATACTCCGCATTTGTATTTTGTGATCCAAAAATTAAGAATTGCCTGAATTGGAATGGCTCAGTTGTTAACATCTGCATCTCTGTATTTCCTAGGTCAACCAAGGCTCTCTTATGTGCTGTGATTTTAGTGATTGTGATGAAGTGATTCGTTTTTGACAAATAAAAATACACTGTAATTATTTTTTTCACAGTGAGGGCAGGTACAGGTGGTGATGAAGCTGGAATCTGGGCAGGTGATCTTGTAGGTACATTTATTCCTTTGTTCTTCACAGAGCATGGAGTATAATGCAAATAATATGCTAGTTATTACTTACCTATTCTTTGTGTTCACTTAGCAAGATAGCAGGGAATATACTATCTCTATAGTTGATGTAAGAAAAACATAATCACTTCAAAGTTAACATACTCCCTCCGTCCCATAAAAAAGTTTCACTTTCCCTTGGCAATTAGATTATAAATGTGAAATTGTGTGGTTGAAAGTGATGCAAAGGATATAGAAATTTTAAGGACCATAACTTTTTCCCCCAAATGTAGGAAGTGGAACTTTATTTTGGGACAGGTAAAAAAGGAAATGTGGAACCTCTTTATGGGACGAAGGGAATATTATGTAACCAATACATGTTCATCAGGTACGTATGTATCAAAGGTACAGTGAACGTAACTCGTGGCAGCACTCCCTAATCTCGTACTCTGAGGTGATACTTAAGCTCTAACTTTATGAATGGTATTACTTATTGCTGCCATATCACCATTGCCATAATTCCCATGTCTTTCTAAGGCTGAAATGGGGGGCTTTAAGACATGTGTCTTGGAGATAAAAGGAAAGCGTGTTTATAGCAAATTGAAGTATGAATCTGGTGTCCATCGAGTTCAGCGTGTTCCCCAAACTGAAGCTCAAGGCCGTGTCCACACTTCCACTGCTACTGTTGCCATCATGCCAGAGGTGAGTATACTTCCACATTTATCCTACATTACTCAAGTATCATGCATAGGTTGTCTACTTGGTTTAAGTCTAGTACTCCGTATATGATTGTGGGATAAACTTCACTACTTGAGTATCTTTTTAGGATGAGTGAAATTCAATTTAAGGACTTCTTTGATGAGCAAAACAATGTTGGAATGGAAGGAACAGAATGAGTTTTGCATCTTGAACCACAACATTTTGGAGAAGTGTAATGTAATAAAATGAATCAAATTTCAGTGGTGGTGGAGGAGGGCGATGGTGGTGGTTTGCAATGGTGGGAGTGTTGGCGGCGGAGACATCACGATGGTCATGATTTGATTCCATTCCCCTGGCTTGATTTCACCAATTCTAGTGGAATCAATCAATCAAAACAACTTCATTCAGGACTGTTCATTTCATTATAGTTTTTTTCAGAACTTGTTCTTTTTTTTTCCACCAAATACTTAGAAAGGAACTTGATTTCTTATGTTTCAGAACTCATTCCTGCTTTGCTCACCAAAAAAGGCCCTAACATTATATCATAGACCACTTGATGGTGGGTTAGTTCGGGCCCATTTGTTCACTCTTTTTGCTGTCCTCCGCACTGAGGCTAAGGGAGGCCAATGGTTGTGGGCTTAGTGTTCCACATGGGTTGCCTACTTGGCTTTAGTCTTCTAGTATATAGGTGTGAGGTTAATATCAAATCTTGTGGATCTTTTTGGTGTGAGTTAGACCCTATTTATCATTTTAAGACGTCTTTGTTCAGTTACAAGTGAGGTAGGCGGGCAAATTTATGTGTGCTTTTATTCTATTTTGGTTTCAGGCTGACGAAGTTGAGGTACAAATTGATCCAAAGGACATTGAGCTTACTACAGCACGCTCGGGTGGAGCTGGAGGTATGCCAAAGTGACCTTATGGGTCAATGGTGGTACGTAAACTACTGAACATGTTCACAAACAGCCTGCTTGGTTATGTGATGATGCAGGACAGAATGTGAACAAGGTGGAGACAGCTATTGATCTTTTCCACAAACCAACGGGAATCAGAATCTTCTGTACTGAAGAAAGGAGTCAGCTTAAAAATAAGAACCGAGCAATGCAATTGTTGAGAGCAAAACTGTGAGTGATATTCAAATTACACATCAGATCAAAAGTATTCCGTAGCATTACTGATTATTACGGAGCATTATTATAATACGAAAAAAACACATTTATGATTTGCATGATTTTTATGACACTTGTGCTCTTAGGTATGAAATTAAATTACGGGAGCAGCGAGAGGTGATTAGGAATCAAAGAAAACTGCAGGTGATTGCTCTTTTCTTCCAACATGCTAGCTGTGTTTTTTTAAAACAGCAATAACTCACACACGCCTACATACACTCAAATGACTGTAAGAATAGTGCTATGAGGTGTAGTTTAGTATGCCATAATCAAATTCAATGCAATCAAATCCATGTGTAATGTACATTTACATTAACAACTAAGAACCCCCAGTTCCGAAAAGTGGTGTTTGTAATATTGATTTTGGTATTAGGAACAACAATTTTTTACCTTTTTGGATGGAGCTACGGAGGTAGTATTTGTTTACACTATGTTATGTCTTCTTTGGTAAATTTTGATGAACTATAATGGAAAGTAATCAAATATATCTGAAGTGTAAATTTAAATTACACATGCATTTGATTACACTGCATTAAGCTCCATTTCAGCTTATCAAGTGTTGCCTCAGTGTGATTCATCCTCCATAGAGCTGTTTTTAGTGGGATCCAAACTGCCAATACGTGTCATTCCCTAATCGGGTGATCTTTGCTCAATTTTAGGTTGGCAGTGGCTCTCGTGCCGAAAAAATTCGGACATACAACTTCAAGGTGAGGAAAACTTTAATACTTCACCTCAAAATATGCACCTCGTTAAAAAAAAAGGCAAATGCTTGTCCTGAAAAACATCTTTAATGCAGAGTATCATTACTTCATTAGTGTTGCTGAACATACGGTTGAAATCCACATTTGCTTAAATATGGATTTATGGGGTTCATACCATTTTTGAATTTCGAGGAATGCTAGAGTCACATACAAAGAGTCACAAAATTCACAAACTTGCCATTTGTAAATTTTAATTTCCACTCTTTAAATTATTTTGAGACTATTGTGTTCCTTTAATAAGTGGCAAATTTGGTCTGAAATAATTTAAAAAGTGGAATTAAAATTCACAAATGGCTACTTTGTGAATTTTGTGACGCTTTGCATGCGACACTAGCATTTCTCATCATTTTTATTGTGTATTTTTGAAGTGGACAATTACAACCAGACTGAGGGGGTATGAATTAAAGTTGATAGAATTATTCAACTATTAATTTTATTTTATGATTTTCTTTATCAGGACAACAGGGTCACCGATCACCGGTTAAAAATAAATTTTGAACTCACCAGTTTTCTGGAAGGTGACATAGAATCAGCTGTTCAGGTTATTTTTATTCTTTTGGGTAGCATTGTGTCATTTCTTCCCATCTCATCAAGATTTAAGAATCGCCCAAATTATGATTTTTTGTGTGCAGTCTTGTGCTTCTATGGAGCAGAAGGAATTACTGCAAGAACTTGCCGAGTCTGTCAAAGCAACAGCAGCTTGAAGCGGATCATAGAGTGTGCTCTTCTGGAAACCTCTTAGGTGAGAGACTAATAGACTATGTCTTATTGTTTTCTGGGAATATATGACTGAATCAAACCCGACAACTTAGTGCCTATTACTACCTAGTTTTGGTTTACCGGTTTGTGCGATTTTAAACGTGGTATGATTCTCTATAACAAAATGAAAAGTATTCATCGCCTTGAATTTGAAAGCTGGCTACAAAAGACTGAAGAGTAGAGAACACTTGGGGGGTGTTTGGTTCAAATAATCTCATAATTTTTCCTTGTCCACTTTAGTAACTGTATAACTTTAAGAATTTAGTCAAAGTACACTTTATTAGTACCTACATTTGTGAAAAAGTTGAGAAACGTATTGCGTTTTATCATTTATGTGACAAAAAACAAGTTGAAAAATGTGACTCTTTTTAGGGGCCGGAGGGGGAAGTAGATTATCTTCGTGGGAGATATTTTTGAGATGATGTGATCCCCTTTTAAGTATTTGTCACTTTGTCTGGACTTAACTGTTCATTTATTATTTACTTTGCTCTTGTCTTCCATTGTTGGCAACAAGCTTAGTATACTTTTCTTCCATGTCTTCACCATTTGTTCACCTAAGATAAGTAGGCAATTAATTTTAGGGGAAAAAAGAAGTTAACTAATTTGAATAGTGAGGGTAAACTTACTGCAATTTTTAAATATATTATCATCTTCCATCAAAGTTGTTAAAATTGAGCAAGAGAGAATAATATATATACTCTACTTACATTTCCATTTTACTTACCTTAATGATTTTTCTCGTGTCAAAATTTAAATAAATATAGACATGATATGTACTCATATTTTTTCAATGTACTGTATCACAACTTTTGTACTGTAATTTGTTGTTCTACTGCGTTGTTTATTTATCGGAATCTCTTTTGAGCTTTGCAGCAAAGGACAGTTGACCAGCATTTTGTTGACTGGTTTGACTTGTCATCATCAACACAGATAATACAACCTAACTAGTTGGTCTAAAACATCAATTTTGAAAGAAAAAAATCTAGTTGTACACATTGGCGCAGATCAAACATGACTTGTTTTCATGGAGTTGTAGATTTCGCACGTTTTAAATTGGTTTGTAAGTGAAAATGTGAATGTTTTACAATTTTAACCCCTCAGGTACCCACGAATAATATATTTATCCTTGCTAGAATTTAAGTCACCCCATTTCAACTAAAATTAGAACGATATATTTATTTCTAATCTTTCAGACTCGGGAGTTTTATATTCCTGTTTTGATTTAATTAATTAAACTTGCTACATTCTAAGTTTGACCGTGATGTTAATTAATTCATAGAGTTGTTGTGGCATATTCAGATAACATAATTCGTATAGCTGGGTTGATATTGATCATTTATTGAAACTTGTGCCTAGCTACCTAATTTTATCTAATGAGCCACACCCACAAAGGCACTCTCAGAATCGACATAGCATTCACTTGAGACTTGAGAAAAGGTAAATTAAGTTACAATCATAGATTGGTTGGCAAAGTGCGTGTGACGCTTGCACCTGGTATTTGCAGAAATTTTATGTTTAGGTCCGTTCTTTTGGGTTGAAAAAATTAACTTCCAACTTTTGGTGGTAGCGTTGTGTAAACTTTCATTGTGTAACCCCCACAATAAGTTTAATAAGATCACAAATACTTCTCGTTGAATATGAGTAAATTATAAGGGCTAAGAATTTGGTGTGGGATAAACTCTCACCAAAATTAATTTAACTGACTCGCTGATCATGTTTGTCCTATAAAATATCAAACATGTGTTTCATTTGGAGAACACGCGTTCATTAAATAACAATCACAATCGTTAGATGATTTTGTTGATAATTAATCCCAAATATGGCCGCTCAAATATCGAATTTTGCCAAAATTCCAATGGGACATTATTTTTTTTGTTGGTATTATTAATTATTTCTTTCTCCTTTGCCACCATTCTCACCGATATATTTTTATTTTTACTAATCCTCGTTTTCAATCACTTATGAAATAATATTATGAAACAGAGAGAGTAATTGAAGGATAAAGTCTAAAAATTAAAGTCTAAAGTCTGAATACTTGTAATACTCCATCTATCTCAATACTTTCTTCACGGTCACTATTTATTGGTCAAATTTTATTTATTCATTTATCTATTTTTGTTAATTACTTGGTAACATAATATAATCATATCAAACTTTTTATATACCTTTTAAATACTTTGTATGCAAGTTTCACTCTAATTTAATTTATTTATAGTCAAATAAATTGAATTTAGAATAATTTCACATCAAATTAACAAATTGAAATGTGAACAAAATTTCAGGGCCGATGAGGCATATAAAGAAAATGAAGAGGTTATAAATAATTTGTGTTAAACTTTCCCCAAAAAAAAAGGTTAGTACTACTAGTTTAGTTAGAGAGGATAATTAAACAGAGAGATTAATAAAAACAAATGACGTTGTAAAGTACAGGAGTATTTTGGAAAACACCAATTTTTGTGGGCGCAAATCTGTCCGTTCTGGTTGGATGAGGTTTTTTTTGTTCCGGTACAAAACTTGTCAGGCCTCTCCAACTATTCATCAATACCTTCTCACAGCAGCTGCTCCCCACGCGCTTCGTCTCGTCTGGCACTAACTCTCTCTCTGTTTTTTATTTTAAACTTAATTTATTTTAAAATTAATGTACTATATGTAATTTAAAGATAATAATTTCCTCTGTTTTTCAAATGGAATATCTCACCAATTTTGCACATGTTATTAAAAATACTGAAAAAATAAATAGATTGTAAATAAATTTACTCCGTATAATTTCTTTTATAAAAAGGAAAATAATTTGGATCACGTGTTCTTTTATTGAAAAGAAAATGAGAAAAAAAATCACTTGCGAGACAGAGAAAAATATATACGAATCATTCAAAAATTATACAACATATTTAACAAAAATAAAATATAGGTCATATTAGGATAATTTTAATGTCATATTAGCACAGTGCAAACTCATATTTTAAAAATAAAAAATATGGAACTCTTATTTTGATATTTTCTCTATATTTTACTTCTATTTAGGATAATTTTTCTTTACGACTATCTTCATATTTTGACTTTATTATTTTTTTTATAACTTATGGTCCAGATGGTTAAAAAATGAAATTAAAACTATAATTTTGAAATGAATGAAATTAGGGGTGAGCGTGGTACAGTATTTGATTCGTACCGATACCGGACCAAATATTTTTGTTCGGTATGAGATTTTACATCATACCGAGGTATGGTTCCGTTTCGGTTTTGGTAAATATTGGAATGAATATACTCGGGTATATGCTTTACACTTTGAAATGTACAAAATTTTTTATTTAAAAAAATCAAAAGTACATTCAATTAAAGAAAGATAAACAATTGAAAAATGAATAATTAAATACAAAAATGCTTATAAAATTTAGTTTAATTTATACTTTATATTTCACAAACAAAATAGAATGAATGATAACAAAATAATATTTCAAATGTTTGTTGATTTTTTTATATTCATCTTCAAAAAAGTAAAATTCAAATAAATGATTATATAAATAAATGATTATTATAATTAATCTACACTTGAACCAACTTTTCAAAATCAATTTATTTTTTAAAGAATAAATATAAAAATATTTTTATTTTTATAACATACTCCGGGTATTTGTATATATGTTCTGTTAAGATTTTTCGGCATGAGAAGTTGTCTCGTACCGATCCCAAATATCGAACCGACCATTCGATTCAGTACGATATAGTTTTTTTCTGATATTTTATCAGTTTGATATTTTTCGATTTGATAATGTTGGATCATTCGAAAATCATGAAATATTCCAAAGTGTTATTACTCGATATTACGAGTATTATTACCGCGCAGTTACAAAAAGAAACCTGTAAACGAAGGAAGTAAAAAAAAGTATCAAAAAGGGGAAAAAAGTGACAAAGAAAAGAAAAAAAGGAACGCGGCTGGGTTACTCAATTACACCAAAAACCAAAATCCGGCCCCTCTCTCTCTCTCTATCTCCATCTCCATCGCGTTCGCTTTCTCTCTCTTCTAATCGTCGTGAGCTCGAGATATCGAACACAGGCGATCCAAGTTCTGTAAATTTATCGTCTCCATTGCAGGATCATCTGGCAAGTTAACCGGATTCGGCTTCATATGAATTCATAATAACAATAACTATTAATTCGAACATTAAAGTTTCTCGTCCTTTTTTTGTTGGCCTTGAAAGTTTGATTAGTTGTTTTTTTCTGGATCCTGATTGATTCAGGATAAATTCGCGGCCGGAATCGGCTGCTCTGGAAGGTTCTGTTGTTTGCGTATTAGCTGGTAGAGTCGGAATTTTGGATGATTCATGTTTCGAAGGGCGATGTAAGGAAGGGGCTAGGTGTTGGAAGAGAGATGGGAGAAGTTGAGCTTGAAGAAGGAGAGGCTTTGTATTATGGGAACAATACAAATAGCGGCTATAATGATGATTCGATCATTGACCCTGATATTGCTCTCTCCTACATAGTGAGTTTCTAGAATTTTCAATTCCAGTCAAAATTGAGCATATATTCTTCTTCTTTTAGCTTCTTTTGGCTGTTGAGCTTGACTTCTGATTGTCGATTTATAAGGACATGTAGTTTATTTGGCTGGTTCCTTGTTTAGATTTCAGGAAGAATTTCGTCCTGTTTGTGTTGAATCTACAATGTTTTTAAAGATGTCATAGAGTGTTTAATACGTTTTCTGTGGAGATAAGCGCTAGTTCTAGTTGATGCTTAAGTAAACATTAGAACCAGTGTTGCTTCATTTAATGTTGAGCAGAATTACCAGAATAGCAGATCGAAACAGCTATCTTTCATTCATGTACTTACCAATTGCTATGTAGAGTAGCAGATCGAAACAGCTATCTTTCATTCATGTACTTACCAATTGCTATGTTCAACCTTTGAATTTGAAGAACTGAAGAAGTTATGCTGCAATAAGGAGTTGTGACTCTGTTATAGTTCTTATTGCTTATCAGTTTTGTTTGATTGTTTGTTTGAAGGATGAGAAACTTCAGCACGTTTTAGGGCATTTTCAGAAGGACTTTGAAGGAGGAGTCTCTGCTGAGAATCTTGGTAAGTGGTTAAATTTGTGAGAAATGATATGCCAGATAGCTTGCCATGCTACTGTGCATTGTCAGATGATTAGGAGTTACAATTTATTGGCAGGATCAAAATTTGGTGGGTATGGCTCATTTTTACCCACTTATCAGCGCTCTCCGCCTGCGCCTGATATTAAGACTGCACCAGAAGTCCATAGCAATATCAGGCCCAGATCCCCCAATCTTACGCACTTTGAGGTACATACCTCTAGCTTGGATAAACTTTAACTTACTGCATGGAAGAGTTAATATGTTTATCATGACATCAAGGGTCTGATCAGAGTGGCTTGTCTTATGATTTAGGGTGGTGGACAAAATTCGTTTATTTCATCAAACACTTCTGTATCAACAAAGTCTCGTCCAACTTCCACAAATTCTCTATTGGTACCTGCGTCCAGGGTTCCTGCTCCAAATCCAGAAATCAACTCTTGCATACCCCCTACCCGGCCTGAAGAACATGCTTCGGTATGTAGAACTCTCAAGAAGCCTGCTGAACACTCTGACCTGAAAAGTCTGAAGGTGCGCATTAGAGTTGGGTCTGAAAATCTGTCAACTACAAAAAATGCAGAGCTCTACAGTGGACTTGGCCTTGATGCGTCTCCATCCTCATCCTTAGATAATAGCCCCACAGATAGTCAAGGTTTATCTCACGACATTCAGGATGCCCCAGATGAATCGCCTACAAGCATCCTCCAGGTGCGTTGTGCTCCACAACTATCCTTCATTAATTGTGATGGCCTCTTTTTAGATTTTAAATCTTGGTTTATCAAAATTTTGGGGCAGACTGACTCGTATTGATGTTATCAAACCTTTTGGGACAGATTATGACCTCATTTCCCATGCATGGAGGCTTACTGCTATCACCACTTTCCGATGATTTGGTTAACCTGAAGGAAAAAGATCTTCACTGGAGAAAAAGTGGATCTAAACACATGCATAAGACTAACTCAGAAGCTTCTGGGCCCCTGTTAAATGGATCTGATGGCACTAGGGGAAGTAAGAAAATCTTGGGTGAGAGAAAACAGAGTTTACATGAGAAAGATGTCATAGGGAGTGGATATGGAAGTGACAACCAGAATTGTGTAGGAGTATCTTCAAATAAGGAAAGCAATCATGGAAACTTGGCGTGTGAAGAATCTCTATCTCAAACTTTGAAGCAGCCTCTTCTGTCTAACTCATATAGTAGTGTCTCTCAAATGACAGTTGGTCCGAAGAAAAATGACAATTTGACAGCCAATGTTCGTGGTAGTGTGAAGGAAAAATCCATTGGTCATACAACCAAGGAAGCCTTGGAGCCTGTTTCATCTACAGAGAAAAATGACAGGATGATGAAATCTCATGGAATCATTAGTTCATCTGCAAGGGGTTTGGGAAGTGAAAAAGCAAACAATACTGAATGTGGTCCAAGTTTTTCAATGAAAGAAGGAAGTGATTGTGTGGAACGTAACAAAGATACAGATGTTCCAAACATTGACACAGATAGTGTTTTGAAACCTTCAGTTGCTCCCAAGCTCAAATCAAACAATGAGGCTGGGACGAGGCTGGTTAAGAAACAAGTGTCATCTGGAGGCAAAAAGAAATCTAGAGGGACTCGGATTCATGATGCCTATGAGGGGAAGATTCTGAAGGATGGTTTGGTAACTGATTCTTCTTTGGCACATAAGACTAAAAGGAGCTCTTCTGGGAGCACTGGTAGATCCAGAAGTGACTCGAAGAGTGTTAAGAACCATTTTAAATCTAGAGATGCATACGCTGAAGTATTTGGGAGCCTAGAAGTTGAGCAAGAAGACGATAAGTTTTGTTCAGAGAGAACACAGTCACTGGAAATGTTGAAGGGTTCTGATGTCAAATGCGAGAATAACATGGTAGAATTTTCTGATGCAGAGAAAGTGGTATCTGAAGCTTTAGAAGGTGAGAAGCAGTTTGCACCGACACAGCATACTAGCTTAGTCTCAAGCATGAAGACTATCACTGGAACTGAACACAATCCCATTTCTGCTTCAATGGCTGAGGTTCCAGTAGTTAAAGAAGATTGGGTTATGTGTGACAAGTGTCAAACATGGCGTCTACTTCCACTTGGAACAGATCCTGAAAGCCTCCCCAAGAAATGGCATTGTAAAATGCTTCATTGGCTGTAAGTCTATTGCATAATGCATATAACATGATTTGATCAGTATGACTGACCCATATTATGATATTATGAGTAACAGAAAATATATAAGGAGTATGATTTTACTATAAAAAAAACTCCTTAGTGTCACATTCAGCTTATGAAGTACTCCCTCTGTCCCGATGTGTTTGTCCACGTTTATTTTTTTTATATCAAACATTATAAAATATGAACTGTGCTATTATTTTATAAAAATGTATTTCATAATAATAAGAAATTAGTTTAGTAAGATTTCTCTAGCTTGTTCGGTAACTTTCTCTGTATCTTCATCTTCTATTTTAGAGTACGGCTATTTTTCGAAATCTTCTTTTCACGTGACAAATCCTCTTTAGTCGATTTCTTTTCTTTTCCTACCCCTGCTTTTTAACATTTCTTGTTCCCTTTTCTCAATATGCAACACTTCACAATATTTCTGCGTCGGAAGAGAAGAGTATTCTTCCTAAAGATTGAATGCTTAGAATAAATAAACTACTTCCAAATAGGCAATTCAATACAATAACAAACATTTGGGAGACCTTGAAAAGTCCAATATGATGAGTACTTTTGGATGGAAGGAGTAAATGTCGAATAACAAACAAACTACTTCTCAAAAGAGTCTCATTAAGTTATTTTATTGTAAATTTTTCTGAAGTTATTATGCTCAATTAAACGGTCAAATGTTCACTTAAGAGACCTTGAAAAGTCCAATATGATGAGTACTTTTGGATGGAAGGAGTAAATAGTATGAACTACTTGATCCCATAAAATTCTGCTCAAAACGTTCATTTATCAGAAATTTCTTGCATTATTCTTAATTATTTTCAATTTTTCTAGGCCGGGGCATAACCGATGTGGTATCAGTGAGGAAGAGACAACAAAGGCCTTGAGAGCCTTGTACCAGTTTCCTACTGCTGTCGTTACTATGTCTACTTCCGAGACACAAACACATAATCAGAGTGATTATCCTGATAGGAACCTTTCAGGAGTTGCTTCATTTGATGTTTCTCGTTCAGGTTTGGAGAACAAGTATATTGGTTTACAAGTTTCAGATGCTAGTGGTAAGAAGAAACATGGATCAAAAGATTCTTCAAGTGAAAGCAAACAAGCAGGTCTTATGCAGTCTTTGAGCAAAATCAATCACTCTAAGGGAATATCAAATGGAAGTTTCAATGACAATGTCCAGTCCCACGCGGTTGAAAATGGGCATAAAAAACATTCCAGACATTTGAGTATTTCGGAGAAGCAGAGCAATAAATCGAAAGAGAGAAGTCAGGTTCTTGACAGCAGCCCTTCTGATGGAGGTATGTTTTTTAAGTGTTAAATTTTGAGCACTCGGCAAGTCTTTAATCTCCTGTTATGTAATTAATGTGATCAATTTCATTAATATCTCATGTTTACAGGTGCAAAAAACACAAAGACAAAGAACAAGTCAGAAACTGGTTTGATTAATTCTAGAGCCTCTAAAAAGGTGAAAAGTGATGGCTTATATTATGACAATGAAAATTGGACCGTTGGCACTGCCGGGGAAAACACAGGACATAGCTCAAGCAGTGGTATGACAAAGACTATGTCAATGAAGGATCGACATAAATATAAAGACTCAAAAGCTTCAGATAATGATCCCCATATCCATAATCCTGTTAATTCAAGTGATGGATCACTGCATGGGAGGAAGTCTGACAGTAAGGACTCTTCTAAGAAGAGGAAGTTTAATGATCATTCCCATTCAGAGACCTACAGTAAGTCAGTTCCTGGTTTAGATAGCAAATTCCACGATTCTTTTGATTTACACGAAGAAACATGTGAAAATGGCCAAAGAAAAGAAAAAGCAGCAAGGGTTTCCAAGTCTGAGGTAAAAGAGTCTAATGGAAACAGATCTAATGATGGAAAAGACGATAGGGGCATAATTAAGGACCAGGAGACAAGGCATGATCAAGTCATGGATTCTTCAAAAAGGCCTTTGGGAACGCTACAACCTTCCATGGCTGCCACTTCAAGTTCTTCCAAAGTATCTGGGTCCCAAAGAAACAAAAGCAATCTCCAGGAACTGAGGGCTTCTCCTGTAGAATCAGTGTCTTCATCTCCTCTGAGAATTCCTACTGCAGTTGGAGAAAGTGGAAAGGGTAGTTATCAGTCTGGGATTGAGAAGGATAGAACATGGAATGATGTACATAATGCCTCTCATGATCGGCAAGATGTGCTATCGGGTCATATACCCAGTGTTAAGATGAACCCAGACACTGCATCTTCTGTTATTGAAGCAGATGATGAAAATAAAATTGTAGGAACTTTACCTCAACGTGACCAGAATGCTTTCTTAACACATAATTCCGAGCAAGGTAAAGACGAGGGAAGGAGTAATGATGGTCATCTACATGATAATAGTGGGACCACTAAGAAGAAGAAGTCTGGGAAGGGTTCGTCTTCTAAACCTAGAGACAAGAATAAGAGTTACAAATATGAAGTTGATAGTTTTACTGTCAATGACTCTTTAGAGAAAATGCCTTCTGGGGAAAATATTAGGGCTGTAAAAAATAAATCTCTTGAGAAAACTGCTAATCATTCAGACACTCTGGCAAAAGATCACAATGACACATTGGTGAATGAGAATCATAAAGAAGTTCACTCAAAGCTTGTTGGCAATAATGCTAGAGATGTCAAGGTAGAAATTGTTTCTGGATTGGACAAGGAGCAGGGTCCAGTTCCAAATAGTGGAGATGAAAGATCTTGTAAGAATCCTATTTCTGACGGAACTAATGAGGTTCCTACCTCTGGAAAAGCGAAGTCACTTCAACCTTTACCTTCCAGAAGCCAAAATGAAACATCAAAATGTCTACAGTCAATTCCTGGGTCACAAAAGGAACCTGCAAAATTGTTGTCAGCAGATGAATGTGAAGATGATGCTTCAAGGGCTAGGCATGGTAAGAAAGATCAGACCCAGACTAGCGACCGACCTAGTACTTTACGACATTCCACTCCAATCCTTAACAAGGCCCGTGATCTCGATGCTCCCTCTCCAATTCGCAAGGATACCCCCAATCAAGCTGCTGCAAATGCTGTAAAAGAAGCGACAAACCTTAAACACCTGGCGGATCGTCTAAAGGTTGGTGAAGTTCTCTCGTTTCCTTAATTGCGAAAGAGGAGACAGGGAAATGATCTCTTTCTACAATTTACTGCCCAATTAAATTTTTAAAAATTTGGCCTAAGTTGTCTATATGTTGCAGAATTCTGGATCAAGTGACAGCACGGGACTTTATTTCCAGGCTGCGTTGAAGTTTCTCACAGGAGCAGCTTTATTTGAGTTATGCACCACTGATAGTATGAAACAGATTGAAATGACTCAGTCGGGACAAATTTATAGTAGCACCGCAAAACTCTGCGAGTGAGTTATGCTCAAAGCTTTTTGCAATTTTCCTTCATGGATAAGATGATACTATTTTGATCACCTGGAATTTGTGATCTGCATCCATACCTTTTTACTGTGTTAAGCATGATTCCAATAGTGATGCCAAAAGATGACATTGGTTTCTTTTATTGCCTTATGAACAGATTTTGTGCTCATGAATATGAAAGATCCAAGGACATGGCTGCTGCTGCGCTTGCTTACAAATGCATGGAGGTTGCTTACATGCGCGTAATTTATTCTTCACATTCCAATGCAAATAGATATAGAAATGAGTTGCAGGCAGCTCTGCAAATCTTCCCCCCAGGTGACTATACAAATATTCATCTTTATTCACAGACTCTATTTAATTATTAACAGAATCTCCTCTATGTATAGATTAATATCTGCATTGAAGTTAAATGCCCTTACATCTCAACTTTTTGTTATAGGTCTCTAAGGCTATTTTATCTCAATCGTAAATAAAATATCCACGTCTAATATAAATGACTTCTCTATGTTCAATACATTGATAACCAAATAACTTTCAAAGATTATTTTGTACAAACCGGAGTGATATGAAAAGCGGAGATTTTGTTTACTCCCCGTCCCAAAAATCTTGTCTCAGTTGCTATTCTGGCTTGCCGATAGCTTTTGTTTATTTGTGTGTTTTCATTGATTATTTGAAAAGATAAAATATTCTTGTCATGTCTGGTTTTATAGAACTTTTGATGTAGTGTTGAAATATGTAAGTTTTACTTTTTATTTATATACTAGTTTTAGATGAAATAGTTTTAAAAGAGGTGAGATTTTGCACGTTGTTCGAAGCGAGACAAGATTTTTGGATGGAGGGAGTAATTAGGAAGCTAATTAGGGTAGCTAACATTGCATATGCCAACTTTATAACCACATAGAAAAGATGGAAATTTTACAATATCCACCTTAGGGCTGTGTATTTTCCCCCCATTTATGTCTCTTATGATATTTATCATTGCATTCTAGGTGAATCCCCTTCATCTTCTGCATCTGATATTGACAATTTGAACAATCCACCCGTCGTAGACAAGGGTGGTCTAGCCAAAAGTGTTGGCTCTCCTCAAGTGACTGGAGCTCATGTTCTGACAACGAGAAATCGTTCCAATTTCACACGTTTACTGAAATTTGTAAGCATTCAGTATTCAACTTGATTATGAAATCATTTTACTGAAACTAGTGTCAATAGAGCTGTTCTCTCTTATTTTGGGGGTTTCCTGATTCTTTTTATACACTATGTTCGGTTCAAGGAATTTGAAAAGGAAGAGAAGAAAATGGAATGGAAAACAGTTTTTCTTGTTTCGTTAGAGACGAAAAGACAAGAAAAGTAGAAGGAAAAGAAAATGAGAAGATTTTCTCTCATTTTGGTAAGGAAAATGAGAGAAAACCATTTTCTTTTCTTTTCCTTCCAAATTCCTTGAACCAAACATAGTGTTAGGAAATGTAACAATGGGTTAATTGATTCAAGGAATGTTGGATTGGAACAACATAGGATATGTAGGGAACATATTGGTTCTCATTTTCTCTGTACATATCTGAAGTTGTGATCCACTATTTGAAAATTGAAAGCACTTGTATTACTAATATATCCATCAATCTTATATTTTATCTAGTTCTATGCTCCCTCCATCCCATATTAAATGTTGTTTTTGCCAAAAAAGATGTCCTAAAGGAATTGTTATTTTAAGAATTTAATGCATATTTTTTACTATTCCAAATTTGCCCATACATACATTTACTGCTCTAAATGATTTTATACCTTGAAAGCTATAAAGTACATTTCTGTTAAAACTGAATACAGATTGAAGAGTCATGTTGCAAGCTTCCATAATATGTGTGCAATTCGCTAAAATGTTAAGTAGTGGGACAAGGGCACACGTTTTCTCTCTATGACTTTTAATAATTTGGCCTGGAACAACATCTAATTGTATGAACTTTCTCTATTTATTTTCTACTTGCAGGCACAAGAGGTTAGCTTCGCAATGGAAGCCTCTAAGAAATCAAGGGCTGCTTTTGCAGCTGCAATTTTAAAAATAGGAGAAAACGAACAAAGTAAAGATGGCATCTCATCTGTTAAAAGGGCACTAGATTTCAACTTCCACGATATGGATGGATTGTTGCGTCTTGTTCGTGTAGCAATGGAAGAGATCAACCGCTGAAGTGTCAAACTGTGAATAATAAGGGTGTTTGTTCCATTCTACTGTCAATTGAGGAAAAGGATGTCATTGGATCATTTAGTAGAGACTTTTGACCGACGTGATTCATCTTTTAACTGAGCGGGACATCTGTACAGCTAATAGCCGCCACATTCGTAGTTACTATGATGTTTTTAACAACTGCTGTGGCTCCCTCCATACCTGAATAAGGATCATGAAGGGAGTAAAAATCACCGTGGAAGAAATGATCCGTGATCCTACTAACTTCAAGCACCAGGGTGGAGTCAGGTAACTTGATAACATTTCTGGAAAGAAAATCATGGAAACAATGCTGGAGAAAATGGTAGAAGTCTTGGATTAGACATTATATCTGAACCGGTCAAGAGGGGATGATGGAAGATCGAATAAGATGACTGTTTCTGAGAGAGCAATGGTCAAGAAGTAGTTCAGATGCAGAGGAAGAACCAATCTTGTAGTTGGCAAAAAGAAATAGTTCCAACCTCACACAGCCACTGAATCTTGTGAGTTCTCATACATTTCGAATATTTACCACTTTTTTCTTACACCCTCCCCCCCCCCCCCCCCCAAAAAAAAAAAAACTATGGTGTGGCTGAATGACATAATAATGTGTCACTCCAAAGATTGCAATGGCTGCCATCAATAGTTTGGTTATTTCTTGTGTGTGCGAAGAGAGAGAGAGAGAGAGAGAGAGAGGGGGGGAGGGGGGTTGAACCCAACCCATTTGTCAACCCTTGAATTGTCCGACACAAATTGGGTTGATGGAGCGTGTTGAGTACCCCACAATGATTGTCTACATTTGTTTTTACTTATGATTTAGTTTGACACATTTATATCTTCATAGGAGCTTAAAAATTATCTCCCTTCAATGACATATTTATCTATCTTATCTATAAGAACTTACCAAGTATGTTTTCTTACAGGCGCACGGAGTTTGTTCAGCAATGAACTTCCAGGAAACCAAGGGCAAAAGAGCTGACATTGCAAAAAAATAAAAATAAAAAAGTGAAACAAGAAAACTCATTTCCTCATATCCTAGTGTTGCATATATAGAGTTGAGTTGCAGGCAAGTTTGCTAACCTTTCCTCTGTGGGTAGAAAGTTCTTCTCATAGTATATAATATTACTTGTCTATTCAATTTTCCCTTTTTGTAACCTTATTGAATTTGTAACCTTACCTGTCTGTAAGCTTATCCGAAAGTCAATTTGTAAATATATTATTGCCCTTTTTTTTATTAAGGGTCCGTTTGGTATACGGAATTGATGGAATTGGAATTGAATTGGAATTGAAATTCCATGGGATTCAATTCCATAGAATTGATTTCTGCCAATTCCAATTCATTTTTTGCACTATCAATTCCAAATCCACATAATTTTTGTGTTACCAAACACCAGAATTGGAATTGAAGTCCTCAATTCCAATTCCATAATTTGAATTCCGTGTACCAAACGGGGCCTAAATGAAAACATGGGGGATTGACATATGAGAGATAACTTAGATCGGCCAGCAGGTTACAAGCTTTTTGATATGTGTACAGTGTAAAAATGAGGGTGGTGCAACTTTGATATGTGTGCTTTGTTGTGTTTAAGATTCCCATGCTTTGAGACCTTTCTATTAGACTTTACTAGTGTTTTTAGGTTTGTTCTTTGAGCCGATGTTCTTTCAGACACANATCGGGAAGGTTAGCATTTTTGGGTACCTTTTATTTTGTAGTAAGAATTTTGAGTTCTTACATTTTTGAAAATAACTCTGGGCTTCTTAAATTTAGAATAAACTATTCTGGGGTTATTTTGGTCCCGTTTGGCATCAGCATTAGAGGTTAGTATTTGCGTTTTGAAAAAGCTATTCGACGGTAGCATTTAGCTTAGCGTTTTTAGATTTAATCTACACCGTCAAAAAGTTATCCATAACGTTAACGTTAATTGAAAATGCTGATTCCAAGCAAGACCTTTACTTCCTACTAGCTGTTATCCACAATGGTAACATCTCTCATTAGATGCTCAAGTGTGGGCTCTACTATAAAGATGTTATTTTAGCACCTCTCTCAACATCTTATTCTTTCAATGGTAGAATCTCATTTGGATGTCTAAACATCTATTCAATTAATATAGTAGGTCAACTAAAATATATTTATATTTTATTTTTTGTTAATTATAAGTATTTAGTTGTATAATAAATTACAGAGTATTAATTATACAAAACTTGAAAATATTATATTGAAAAAATTACTCTTTATATTTTAAAACTAGCTTGTTCTCCATCAATATAAAAAAAAATCTAAAAATGACCTATTTCGGTGTAAATCCATTTTTTAAGAAAAAAATCCTAATTTGCAGCTATTTGTAAAAAAAACATTTACTTAAAATATTTATTGGAATTACAAAAAAAATTCGTTGGAAAAGTATTTAAAAAGAGAGCTATTTAATTAAGAAAATTGCCATAAAAAGAATTGAATATATATATGACACATGGCACATAATCATTGGACCACAAAACTAAAGAATTGAATGCATGAAATCCTTCCCCCTCAAGCATCGGTGCTATGTGAAGCATCCCCCTCTCTTTTTCTTCCTTGGGCATCTATAATGAGCACCTACCTACAACAATAGCATCTATCAACATCTCACACTCTCCCCTCCTAGCATCTCTTTTGGGCATCCCATTGGAGATGGTCTTAATTGTCTTATCATAATTATTACTCCGTATAAATTATTATGTGATATCTCAAGTTGGATACGAAAAACTCGCATGTCCTAATTTATTTTAAGTTAAAAGGAAATAAAAAATAAATAATAAATAAAATAATGCTCCGCAGTAATCAATAAAAAAGTAAATTAATACTCTGTAACAAATACGGAGTACAAAAATACAAAGTAAAAAAATTAAATAATAAAGATAAAAAATAATAAGTAAATAAATAAAAATTAGAAAAAATAATTCAAAAATTAAACTAAAAATGCTTGCAATAATTCAAAAAATAAATAGAAAAATAAATAAATAATAAAATTTAAAAATCAAAATAATATAAAGAGAATAAAAGTTGAATATAATAATATAAAATTAAAACTAAATCTTTCTTTTCCCCTTTCTAAGGTGAAGGGACCCTTCCAATTCCCTCTCTTCCCTTCAAACCAAAGAGGCCCTAAATGTTCCACATAATTTTTAATAAAGTAGAATTTATATGATTTAGTTTTATGTCGAATAGTGAGAAAGTTTTTCAAATAAAAAACAGATATTTCGTAGTACATCTTTCTCGATAAACAAAGAAGAATTCGGGAAGGTCTCCCACCCACACCCTGACTAGGGTCCGCCTTGAGAACTGGATGGTCTGGGCTGAGACAGAAAAAGAGACTTTAACAGTCTTATTCCTAATGTCTTAGCGAATTATAGTGTATAAGCTAATTATAATTAAATAATTAAAGTGTATAAGCTAATTATTCCAAACCAATTTCATGAAAATTGACCAAACGAGGTGGTGGGCCAAGGGTTAATCGGTTAACCCGAGGGTCAACGACTCGGTTAACTATGCCACCACATTTTCAATTTGCTCTTTGTATTATTTTGTATTACTATCAAAGATAAATAGTGAGTATCTAATAAAACTAAAATAGTAAGGTAATACTCATATTTAAAAAAAGTAAAGGCTAGGTAATGTGTTTTTATATAATACTTTGTAATCTTTATATAACACTTTACACTTAAAATTAGTTGATTAAAATGAGAAAAAGAAGAAAAAATAATAATTTTAACATATTAAAGTATAATTACTAAATATTTCTTAATTTTTTATTTATGATATTTTTTTTTTGAAAAAAATTAGGTATAAGTATTCATATTAATTTTTTTTTTTAAAAATAATTTTTTTTATTTATTTCTAAAACTATTTTTATAAGTTTATTAAACAAGTGAATTAGATAAACCTTGTGTTTCTTTTTATAAATAATTAGAAGTTTTATTTAAAATCAATAAAGTAATTATATATATCTTATTGCGTGACTTATGTATCAACAAGTTTAGTGACTCAAGTGGATGGAGTATCTCTTGGCACCCAAAATACTTAGGTTCGATTTTCACTCAGAACTATTGAGATTTTAATTTTAATAGAAGAATGTTATGTGTATATATGTATAATATTAAAAAGTTAGGCCCCTTAATATATTGGGTCCGGTCTGGTTGGCTGGCCCTCCCCTGACCCTTGGACTGGCCAGACCCCGACCTTCTTCTTCCTTTCTTTCTCTCTCTAGTGTGGCTTTGGGACCTGAAGTGATCGTCGAGAAGAGGGAGTGCCATACCAATCCGCCTTGATTATAATTGGCATAATGTATTTGCATTTTTGTAAAAAATCACACCAATACTCTTAGATTTGGTTGATTATTAAACACTTTAGAGTGTTACTTTGAGATTCTCTTTTGCATGTTAGTGTTTCGAAAAATTATCAGAGTTTACATAGTGCTACTCTAACTTGATTGAGTGAACTTTACATGTAATCAAGTAGAATTATTTTAGCTGACATGACAGAAATAACGAATTGTTATCACCTCTAAAGTAATGAAATTATGTTGGACGACATTTAAACCTTTTTAATTATATTAATGAAGAAAACATAATTAACTGAACTTGAGTCATCTATCTTCAAAAAGTTATTAACTTCTATATATTCATTTTTCAAAAGAGTCCGTCTGGTATAAATTTATAATTTATATATTCCGTCAATTTATTGTTTCAGATGCCATGTTAATGAAAAGGGTTTTTCTCCCATGCCTTATTATTTCAAAGGGCATGGATACCCATCCATTTAAATGGTGACATGTGGAGAAACAAACATGTCACTTAAATGTAAGGAGTACTCAACAAGTTTTGAAAAATTGTAAAATGCTCCCTCTAAAATTCTAAATCACACGTATCACACTTACTATTATTTAATCCGTCATTTACTCTTTTTTCCCTATTTAAAAAATTATCTAAAATAGAATTAAAACATTTATCTCTAAAATAGATGTTCCATGTTTTATCTTAGAATACGATTTTACACTATACCAACATGACTGATGATGTGTATTGATATTCTACAAGTACTCTTTTTTTTATAGTATATGTTCATATTATTGTCATAACTTCTATTTTGAAAATAAAAAAAAAGATCTCATATTTTGATATTTTCTCTATATTTTAATCGTTCATAGTTTAGTCTTTATTTATATTTCATTAAAAAAAATTGATATAGTTTTTAAATATGTAAGTTAAATTTTTTATTCATATACGAATTTGTAAATAAAATTATTTTAAAATAGATATGATTTTTCTATTGTTGGAAATACAACAATAATTTTGGGACAGATGGAGAATATAAAGCATGATCGAACTGTAAATTTTGAAATAGAGTAAAAATCAAATAAAATATCAAAATTTCATTATAATTGTTTTTATTGTTTAATATAAATACGGGATAATATTAAAATCAGAATGTACAAGACAATATTTTTTAGTTTGATTGAGTTTCGACAGAATAAAAAACAATTATTATTATAATAATAAAATATTTTAATAAATTAAAAATGAGGAGGGGTAATCTTACACCGATTCAATTGGATCACCTACGGTGCTCCGATCATAAAATTGATTATTCCTACCCCCTAATCCCATGGTAAACTCCCCCTAGCCCACATCGTCCTCAATGTGCGCCCGCAACCCTGCCAATTTTATTACATCAAATTTGTGTCTAAAATTTGACCCGAAAGTCAACAAAATTTGGTGCAATGAAATTGGCGTTGGTGTGGGGTGCGTTGAGGACGTGGCGGGCTAGGGGGTAAGGAGGGATAAGTACAATCAATTTTATTATCGGAACATCTAAGGTATTCCAATTGAATTGGTGTAACAATCTTACACCAATAAAATGGTGTAAGATTATCTATTCTCATTAAAAATTCAATTGAAATTTCATTTATAATTTTAAAACATATTACTAAAAATTTAAATTTAAAATCCATTAAATTACAAAAAAGAGGAGTGAAGATAAATATTAATAAAAACTATGGTGAAATTAGTCTCTAAGAAAAGGGTAGCAATAATGAAACAAATTTGGGGGATAAATTTGAAAATACAAAAAGAAACCAATTATGTGCCCTCATTGAGAAAAAAAAGGATGAACTAAAATAATACGGAGTAACATATTAAAAAAGGAGCAACTAAATTAATACTCCGTAATAACGAATGGTAGGTCAAAGTAAATCTACACGGAGTATGAGGGTCATTTTACAATATTTCCAAGTGGTGCGTATTTTTTATTCTTAATTAGATTTATTTAAGTGTTATTATCATTTGTCCACATGGCAATTTTTAAATGGAAGGGTATCCATACCCTTTGATATAGGAAGGCATCAAAGAAAATCCCTAATGAAAATACTTCTACATAATAAAGTCTGAAGTTGACTACATAAGGACGACTTTAGGTTGTAGTAGCAATATAAAAAAAATTGAAAAGATTGACGTGCAATTTTTCCCTTTTTTTAACAAAGTTTTTTACCCAGGAGTATTTGTTTTCTCTTTGCTCTTTTTCACAAAACAGAGAAATTTAAAAGTGCACAACAGGGGCCGCAAGGCTCAAACCACCACAGAAGCCTGAAGCGTGGTCGCGTTTCCCCCACTTATCCGGACATATCCCCGCCGTCTCCGATGCCATTTGGAGGAGTCTGCGTTTCTCGCCAGGTTTGGCGTCTCACTGCTTTTTCCTAATTTTTCGCTCGCGTGCTCCGGCTCAGTCACTGAGCGGCGGCCGTCGCCGATTGTGGTCTGGGCCCCCTCTGATGCTCTGCTTCAGACTGCAACCACCGTCCGCAGCCGCCTTCCGCAACGGCACCAGACCACTCTTGTCTCCTGACTCCTCCTCCACACGGCTACAGGTCTTTTTTCTGTTTAAAAGATTTTAATACTCTATTTCATAAAATTATTGTTGATTCCTTGTGTCTAAGTGAAGGATGATGTTAAAATCACATTTTTTATGAATGTAAATTGGTTTTTTTATTTCTTTTTTGGAGATTATTATTATTATTTAATCTTAAATATGCAATTACTTTGTTTTGTGTTAGTTAAAGTGATAAATTTGTTAAATTTTAAAAATTTTAAAAAAAGATATTGGATTTTGTATATTTAACTATATTTTCATTTCATGATATTGTATAAATTTTTTATTTTTTTACTCTGTATTATTTTACAGTTTTTTTTTTTTTTTTGAGATTTTAACTATTTTGAGATGATATTTGTTAAGAAGTGTTTTATCATTTTATATTGTGTTAAAAAAAATTCTGGGCGCTACCCCCAAACCCTCGTAGTTTATTTTTAAAAGAAAACCATATGAAAGCAACTACATCAACAACCAAACCTAGTATTATCCAAAATCTGTTAGAGGTCTGGAGAGAGGGAGAGGGGATCAAGATATACGCTGCCTTACCCAGTAGCGAGGTTGTTTCTGTTAGACCTTTGATGCATTACTGTATTTACAACCCAAAACTTCATGGAAAGTAAGAAACATTGAAAGATAAAAAACAGAAGTTTAATTGACCATTTTGACTTAGTCCATGATTTTCCAAAGCTAAAACATGGTCCACAATGACTCTTTTAGCCCCGTTATGAATGCTAATGCTAATGTTATTAACCAAAACTTACATTGAACTTATAAGTTTGTGTGTTATCCTTGACTGAACATGAATGTGCCTAGAAATGATAAAGATGAATGGTGCTTCTTAGGCAATGACACTATGCAGCATTGTTGCTTTTATTGTTGTTATGAATGTGAACCATGTCAGTTCTTTTGCTGGTTGTGTACTATATGTGAGTGGGTTTTTATGTATTCAAACCCATCTTTAATGTACCCCTCACTGGGATCGTTGTAATTTATTTTAGGGATCTCATACACTTGTATGAAAGTGGATCTTATAGGTTATCATGGGTTCCTTTTCTGGACTCCTTCAAAGACCGTTGGTTGTCTGGAACCCATCATTGCTCCACTGCAGAAATAGGAAATTTTCCAGTAGTGGTCTTGCTCGTAAGGTTAATGACGTGGGAGTTTCTTACTTCAACTCTATGCAACCCAAATCTATACACTGTCAAAGCTGCTTGCTTTCTGGTTCATTAAGGTATTCATTATACGTTCTTCTTTCTTTCTTTAAACAAAATGTAATCCGAAGTAGATGTTTTCCATCTCTTCTCTAGTGGGGAAAGTCACAAGTGTGGTGTTAATGTTCTAAAAATCTTATCTCCAATTTTGGTTTATTAAGGAGTGATTGGTTCAAAAAAATACTTCAAACCTAACAAACACAAAGCATCACACTCAAGTGCAGGGTCTGTTGGTTAAGTACTTAAGTTGTTTGTAGAAGTGGTAGATTTTACCTATACTTGATGACCCCTGATAAACCATGATGGGGTGACTGTCAAGGAACCAACTCAACCAAAAGCTCAAGCCTATGGTTGTAGGCCTAGGATATGTTTTATACTCTAACACGCCCCCTTACGTGCAGGCGAGATATATTTTTGCTTGAGCCTTGCAGGCGAGAATTAATCTTTTAGAATTAGGTGGGAGTGAGGTTTGAACTCGTGAACTTTTGGTCATCAAGGCCGCGATACCATATCAAGAACCCAACTCAACCAAAAGCTCAAGCTTGTGGTTGTGGCATGAGGAAATGTTTTTATATTCTAACACGCCCCCTCACGTGCAGCAGTGGCCTTTTCGAGCCTTGCACGTGAAACCTCTACTTTTTAAAGTTGGGTAGCACTGAGTTTTGAACCCGTGTCCTCTTAGTCAACAAGGCTGGTATTATGTCAAGGAACCAACTCAACCATAAGCTCAAGCTTGTGGTTGTAGGCCTAGGATAGGTTTTTTACTCTAAGAGTGACCCATAGTATGAGGAAAATTCATGTACTTTAATGATTGGAAAATAAGAGTGGGTTTCATTTGGTATAAAAATATGAATGGGAATCCATTGCGGAGGATAAATTTTATTTAAAAAAATTGCTGACTTGAATGCTAATGATACTCCGTGTGTTTTAAATGAAAGAAAGTGTGAAGTATGTTTTAGTAAATGTTTCACAGTGTAGCTCAATTTAGCTTAATTTTGAAAATCCCAAGTTTGTTAATGGTCAATTTAGCTCGATTAATGATTCTCTTTTCCTCATACTCCAACGTTTTCTTTCATGTTTATTATGAAGTCAATCAGAAGAAGGTGAGGAGCGTCCACAAGAAAAACTACCTTCCGTTGCAGGTTTGTTCAAGTTCTTTCACATTCTAGAATGCTTTGTTTCATTTCATCATGTGTATATTACCTCTTTAGGTAGGTGCGTACACCCCCCCCCCCAAAAAAAAAATAGACCCCACTTCGTAATATTTTACTGGATAGGTTGTTTTTGTTGTATAATACCATTGTCATTTTTAAGGGTAGCCTTGACACAGGGGGTTGAGGTTTGTTGTCTTTTTATTTTATTCTTTTCAACATAGTCAAATTTTTTTTACTATTAGCTCTTTTCTTTTTGTAGTCCTTAACGTACCTTTTCTTCAATAGGTGGGATAGTCGCTTTGGGTAAGTTTGAGGCACTTCATATTGGTCACAGGGAACTTGCAATCCAAGCAGCAAAAATAGGACCTCCATTTCTTTTGTCGTTTGTTGGGATGGCCGAAGTACTTGGTTGGGAACCTAGGTAAAGTATGTCATCTTGTTTAAAAATCATCATTGCATGTTGAAGTTAAACCATTTGTGCATTGGGTATCACGTAATTAGTTTAAGGAATTTTTCATATCCGGCTGTCCTTTTCATAATATAATGTGTATTGGGTTTAAAAAGCACTTGAAATCTATAATAATGTAGTCCCTTTTCCGTCCCTAATAAACTCATGTTTTTCAAGGTACAACTTTTTTTGGGAAGGTACAACTATTAAAAGGCATGCAATCCTATTTACATGCTAAAACACCATTTATTAGTTTGACAGTTTGAGGGAATCTTAGTTAACTTGTTTGTTATCTTTTTTGGGGTAAGTTTCATTAAAAATAGCCGGTGGGCGTTGCACAATTGGCAAAGCAAGGGGTGCCCGGGGTACCCAACTTAGATTCTTGGCAATTGCGTTGGGAGGCAAATATGCTAAGCATAGGGCCTCTGCAAGTACCTGGTGCAGGCTCCACTCTTTGCCACCAAACTGTGATTAAAGCCCACTTTACCTCCTCATATGATCGTCCGGCCGGTTCTGAGGGGCCTGGTGTCCATCCTTTAAAGTTCATTAAAAATATAGCTTCATTCCATGAAGCAGGTTTTTTTTAGACAAAAATCTTTTGAAGCAGTACTCATTTTGGGACCATGAGACTTTCAAGTCTACCATAAGTACGTGGGCAGTTCTTTGGTACACTTCTTCAGCTCACTGACATATTCATTTTAGAATTTAAGTGGTGTGTTCGTGACTTGTTTTTTTTTTTTTTGTGATTTGCTGAATAAGAAAGGCAAAAGTACTGCTAAATTGGATATTGTGTAAATGAATATTTACAGGGTTCCCATTGTTGCCAAATGTGACCGCAATAGAGTTCTCTCATCTTGGGCTTCGTGTTGTGGTGAAAAGATTCCTAGAGAATTCCAAATTGAATTTTCAAAAGTTAGATACTTCACTCCTCGTCACTTTGTTGAGAAGTTGTCAAAAGAACTTGGAGTGCATGGTGTGGTAGCAGGTACGTTGCAGGAAAATGTTGCACGTGTGTAAGTATTGCACTCTTCTATGAGTCCGACCCACGACATATGTCATTTTAACAAAAGGAAGTCAAAATACTTTGTTTACATTTAGAAAATAATTTTCTTTCTTATCATTAACTTTATACGGAGTATTTTTGTCATTCATATTCATTCATGTACTCCCCCCGCTCTAAAGGAACTTTCAATGAATTGCACCTAGATACAGCTAATTGTCCATATCCTTGACCAAGATACCCCCTTATTGATATCTAGGCATTAAAAGCTGGAAATAAAAGTGGGAAAACTGGAAATGAATATGGGAGGGCAACCTAGTAATTTCACTATGTTTTTCCTCTAGTGGATTACCGAATCTGGAGTGTATTTTGTCACTGTTTTGGTTATGTTTTTTTATTTGCATGTTTGTCTTGTAATATCAATCGTTTTATGAGGATATGACAACTGCAAATATGTCAAATTATAGCCATCTCATGATATTCCATTCATATGGAAATAACCAATGATGATGATGATGGCCATAGAATTTATTGTTTAAACTTAATTAACCATATAGATTGTTGCATGAATTTATGATGGAATTTGTCACTATATTTTCAATTTCCAATAAAAAATACAGTTTGGCAAGGCTAATGTTGTCATTTAGTCCCCATTCCTAAATCCCATGTGTACAATCCTAAAACAACAGGTATTCTGAATCAAAGCGAGGAGACTATGAGATGAATTTGTGGTTCTGATGCAGGTGAAAACTACCGGTTTGGATATAAGGCTTCGGGCGATGCGTCAGACCTGGTAAGGCTGTGTAATGAATACGGCGTCAAAGCTTGTATAATCAATTCGGTCATGGACAAGAACCAAGATCCAGAACACTTGAACCCGTGCTATCCAAACGAGGTGGGACAGGTCTCTTCCACCCGTGTCCGTTATGCCCTTTCCAAGGGAGACATGAACTATGTGTCACAGCTCTTGGGTCGCCACCATCGGCTTTTCCTTACAGTCGGAGACCAAGAAAGGTTTTTTATGAGTGATGATAATAAAAGGCGCACTCTCTCTGCCCCAAAGTCGCGATTGTTGAATATTCCACCAAGGGAAGGTGTTTACGAGAACTGTTCCATTGTTATTTTTGGCAAGAATGTTGTAGGGTGCAGACTTGTCATTAGCAGTTTAGATATTCACTTGGAATGGGATAATCCCCTTACTTGGGAGGATAAGTATAATGTTGTTGGCATTGACATTGCTGGGTCTTGAAAATAGGATGGGACCCATCTACGAGGACCCCTTGGAACCTGATCTGACGGTCACTGAGAGGAGGTAAATTGGATTTTGATCGCAGATTGGTGGCAAAGAGTGGAGCCTTAGAGCCTGTACCAGGGTCTTGAAGTTGATGGTGTGAAATCTAATGCATTCCTATATTGTTTCAAATGCATTTTTGGTTAAACTGATGGTAGGATTGTGTTTTGCAGAGAAAGATGATATTTGTATGGTGTGTAAAATCTGCTATTAGAGGATTATTGCATGTTCAATTGTACATGGGGGGCCATTTAGGCTCTTTTTTTTTTTTGTAAAACCACCTTTTTAAGAAACCATCTCTTAAAATAATTCTTTTATATAATAAAACCACCTTTGAGTTGTACATTTTACAAAATCACCTTATAAAGTAATTATTTTTTTAATTAAAATAACATTAGAGTATAATAGCATATTTTTTGACTTTATACTTAAAAAGAAATCAATGGTTGAAGTTTGATTAAAACCACCTTTAATCTTTTTTGTTAGAATTTTAGAGTTGGATGTTGGAAGAAACTAGAATTGAAGAAGTTGGAAGAATTTGAAAGTAGTCAGAAAATGTTGGAACAATTTATGTACTCCGTATTAAAAAGTCATTCAATTAAATGATTTAAATACACGTGTAAGAAAATTTTAATTTTAGATAAAAAAGAATTCATCATTGTTTGTGTCTGGTGTGATATGTTATAAATCTAGATGTTTAATATTCTTTCATACATAAATACATTTTTAAGTCGTTGAAAGAAACTGAAAAAAATTGGAAGGTCTTAGAAGAAGTTGAAAGAATCTGGGAAGAGTTTGAAAAAGTTAGACGTTAATTTTTCCAACTCAAAAAACAAAGCCTAAGTATTGTTTTTTTTTTTCAAAAGATAATTTTCTTAAAAATATACTCGTCTAAAAGATAGTCTAGGTAGTTTTTTTGAAAAAAATCGCTTTAAAGATTATTTTTAGAAAAAAAATAGGAGGAGATAACTGAAAACACAGCTCCCCTTTTAACCAAAACAAACACCCAATTTACAAGGGTTAGCATTCCCAACCCAAAATGTCTTTCCCAAACATGCCCTAAATGTGATTTTTAAAAATTTTAAATAAGAACTAAAAAAAATTACATAAATGTGATTGACTGATTGTTTAAAAAAATTAATATGCGATTTTAAAACAAAAAAATCAAACATAAAAAATGGTTCGCAACAAAATTTCATAACTCTAATTACCTACCTAACCGTTTACACTTTACCGTAATAAATTCTGGAATTCCTGTTTTCAAAAAAAAAAAAAGGAAAAGAAAAAACTGGGATTCGCCGACGAAGACATTCCTAACGGGTCCAACACCAACAATTTTACCCGGTCAGCTAATCGCTCCAAGGCGGCGCGCCGGTGCTGCTTTCCCGCAATCGTCGATCTCTTTCGCCGCCTCCTGTCTGTGATTCTGCTGCATTGAGCCACCCGCAACTCACCTCACTTCTCCTTCTCTTCATCGGCATCTGGGTTGTTAAAAACCCTAGTTTTGTCCACTCACCGATCCCCTGAACCCTAATTGAATCGAGAATTACGCCTCTGCAGACGGGGAGTCTCATGAATTGCTTCGATCTATGGGTTTGATTCGGGATATTGGACTGCGGGATTGAAGCCATGGATAATCAATTGCAACTGGCGATGTCCAGCCCTGCGACGTCGTTTCACGACTTGCTGGCCTCGCAGAGGGAGCTCTTTCGCAGCCAAATTGATCACCTGGAGAACATTGTAATCAATCAATGCAAACTCACAGGAATCAACCCGCTGTCTCAAGAGATGGTTGGTGCTTACCTGAACTATCATTTTAGGTCAATGGTTATTTACTAGCTTTATTGGTCATTTCTTTATACTTGGTTGAAGAAATCATAGAAGAGTTAGGACAGAGTTGGTTTTGTAGTTGCAAATGTTGAATTAGTTGTTGCTTTAAACTCCCCTAGATTGAGTTGCCGAGCACATTCCTTTCAAGACACTCCATTTGAAGAAAAAATATGATCATGATTGTGAACTTCATCGAGTTTCTGCCACTATCAGAGTGAAATCTCTGTTTAGCAGAAAGAATGAAAAATAGTAGCTCCCACCTTAAAGGTGGAAGGCTTAATCACTGTATTATTTTCTTATAGTCATTATAGAAGTCTTTATCTGCTATAGGGATGACTTGAGGAAATTTCATTAAGCTGATAGTTTTCAATCATTTTCTTTGCAGGCTGCTGGAGCTTTGTCAATAAAAATTGGTAAGCTACTTATCTATTGATTTAATTATTTTAAGATGTGATTCAATGTTGATGGACGTCACCTGAATTTGTTTAGGCAGCCACTGATAATTTTCCTGATATTCTTATAAGTAAAAAGTATGTGTCCGGACTTTGTTTAGAGGAAAGAGAGAGATTGTGAGCCACATAAATTCATTCATTCCTTAATAGGAAAAGAGGGAATTATGAAGTTTATTTTGGGACAACCAAGAAAAAGTTAGAAGTTAATTTCGGGACTGATTCCCTGGATTTTGCTTATTTTAGATACCTAATCTGGTTTTTTCCCTGTACTGATTTATTTACCATTTTCATTTTTTGATAGGGAAAAGACCCAGGGACCTGCTGAATCCCAAGGCTATAAAATACATGCAATCTGTCTTCTCAATCAAGGATGTAATAGGCAAGAAAGAAACTCGTGAAATTAGTGCCCTCTTTGGAGTTACAGTCACACAGGTCTCTCTCATCTTTTTCTAGATGTGTTTAAATCCCTAAGACAAGTAGTTTGGTGATATACTGAGATATTTTGCCCTGGCCAAATTTGAAAACTACATACAACAAAAACAACCAACCCAGTAAAATTTCACAATGCAAATTAAGATAAACCACACAAATCTCTAACTACATCTACTAAACTTAATAGCCCTACACACAATGATAACCACCGCTAAACCCTATAATTCCCAATTACCAAATGCTCCAATCTAGGATCATATCCTCGGTGAGCTCCCTTTAAGCCGAAGGTCATGTTTATTCACTTCACCCCAACTCTTTTGAGTCTACCTCAGTGCCATGCACCTCTTCACTGGAGCATAGGTACTCCTCAATCCTCATCATGTATGCAAAACATCTCTATTTAGCTTGGCACATCTTATCCTCCACACATGCCACTCTCAGCTTGCCGCATATAACCTTGTTCCAAACTCTATTAATCCTAGTGTGACTGCACATCTACCTCGTCTTCTTCATCTCCACCACTTAAACTATCTAAACTTGTGTGTTCTTCACCGAGTAACACTTTCCTCCATTCAACAGCTGGGCTAGCCACAACTCAGTAGAGCTTGCCTTTCAATTTTGTTGGAATACTCTTGAAGTGAGCCTCCATTTCACGCAGCCCCTCTGATTCGATAAACATTATCTTCATCAACCTCACTGTCTGTCTAAGGGTTTCAAATCAATCTTCACCTTCACTTCTGATTCAGTTGTCCTCCCACTTGTCCCCTCGCTCAAAGTGCACTCCATGGACTCCGTCTCAGTCCTGCACATTCTCAAACTTAGACTTCAAGGTTTGCTTCCACACCTCCAATCTTTAATTGACTCCTTCAGGCGTTTTGTCAACAAGGGGTCTGCAAAAAGTATACACCAAGGCTCCTTCCCTTGGATTGTATTACAAAGTTAAATGAAATTTGTGTGTTTGCACTGACATTGAGTTTCATTGGTCTATCCAACTGATTCTATATTTTCTGCTATGTCATCTTTCCTATTTCATTACGTGTTCTGTAGCATGACATCCTTTTGTTACATTTATCATTTCTGTTTTTCATACTACAATGGTTTGTTGTAGTTTTTGTGATATTGTTAGCTTACTATTCTAAACTAGGGCTGCATTTACATTTTTGTGGAAATTAGCGCATGCTGATTGGTCTCATATGTTGTTATATTACTGTCTATAGGTTCGGGATTTTTTTAACACCCAGCGAGCAAGAGTAAGAAAATTAGTTGGGATCTCTAGAGAGAAGACTAAGAAGTCTATTGCATCAAATGAACCCTGTGAGGAGATATCTTTAAGATCAGATGCCAGTTTACCAGTTGATCCTGCTCCCTTAGACAGCGTGGTTCCTTTAAATGTGGAAGGGCCATCATGCTCAACAGAAGATGAAGTGCCATCAGGAGTACAGGAGTCTGACAAAGATTTCATTGAAAATATATTTATTTTAATGAGGAATGAAGATACATTCTCTGGGCAAGTTAAATTGATGGATTGGATAATGGAAATACAGAACCCTTCAGTCCTTCTATGGTACTTGTGACTTAAATTTGATCAAATTCTTAACTTTTTGATGTAATGATGTGTATTTTTAACCAATATTTTGTCTATATTTGTTTCCAGGTTTTTAAGTAAAGGCGGCGTAATGATCTTGGCAACTTGGTTGAGTCAAGCGGCAACAGAAGAGCAGACCAGCGTTCTTCATTCCATTCTTAAGGTTTGTATGAAGTCCTTACACCTATTTACTTAAATGAATGATGCCTAATTGAGGGATCATGGGTAGGAGTTAACCACTTTGTAACTGTTTTTTCTTAGGTACTCTGCCACCTGCCTCTTCACCAAGCACTTCCGGCACACATGTCGGCTATTCTGCAGAGTGTTAATAAACTTAGGTTTTATAGGATATCAGGTGCGATGCTATTGCAGATTGTTGCTTCATTGTGCCAATTTTTTTGTCCCTCACAAATATGTTAATATTAGCAATTAAAACTGATAGATCATCTTTCACTTGAAAAGCTAACATATTCAGAATGTACCTTCCCATTTACGTTCAGTAATACACCCTTTGTCCCAAAATTATGTTCCCATGTAAAATGACACATAGATTAAGAGTGAAAAGAAACTTATTTAAATGTTCATTCCCACTTTTTTAGGTTTGGAAAAAGTGTAGTGAAAGGTAATAAATGTGTAGGTTGTTGAAAGCAAGGTTGTTGTTTTATTTAGGAGTAAAAGGTGCATACCATAGAAAGAAATGGAAAGTAGATTTTGGGACAATCAGAAAAGGAAAGGGGGATGTTAATTTGGGATTGGGGAAGTGTTGAGACTATATTACAATATTGTGAATCAGAGCTGTGATAATTGAGAAAAAAAAAGACTAAAATGCATTCCATATTGAAGGGAAATGATAATGATTTTTAGAGAGGCATTCCAAAATTCATGTCTTAGTTTGAAGGGTTAGTTGAGGTACATGTGTGTATCATATACCGTTGCTTACCTACTTGATTGTGAAATGCTCTTCA